ATGAATATCAGCATTATAAAATGACTATGTATATATACAGTCATGTGAAAAAGAAAGTACACCCTTGGTGTACAATTCTATGGTTTTACATATCAGGACATAATAAAAAAAATCATCTGGTCGTTAGCAGGTCTTTAAATTGGGTGAATACAACCTCAGATGAACAAAAAACATGCCATATTACACCATGCCATTATTTATTTAACAAAAATAAGGCCAAAATGGAGAAGCCATGTGTGACAGACTAAGTACACCCTAGGATTAAATTGCTTCTAGAACCACCTTTAGCAGCAAAAACTTGAAGTAATAATTTTCTATATGACTTTATCAGTCTCTCACATCACTGTGAAGGAATTTTGGCCCACTATTCTTTACAACGTTGCTTTAGTTCATTGAGGTTTGTGGGCATTTGTTTATGCACAGCTCTCTTAAAGTCCCACCGCAAAATACATTTCAATCGGGTTGAAGTCTGGACTTTGACTGGGCCAGTGCAGCACCTTGATTCTTTTCTTTTTCAGCCATTCTGTTGTAGATTTGCTGGTGTGCTTGGGATCATTGTCCTGTTGCATGACCCAATTTAAGCCAAGCTTTAGCTGTTGGAAAGATGGCCTCACACCTCACAGAGTTTATGGTTTCTGTGGCTGCAAAACAAGCCCAGATCATCACCCCTCCACCACCATGCTTGACCATTGGCATGAGGTGTTTTGGCTGATATGCTGTTTGCTTTTCACCAAACGTGGCGTTGTGCATTATGGCCAAACATCTCCACTTTGGTCTCATCTGTCCAAAGGACATTGTTCCAGAAGTCTTGAGGTTTGTTCAGATGCAACTTTGCAAACCTAAGCTGTGCTGCCATGTTCTTTTTAGAAAGAAGCTTTCTCCTGGCAACCCTTCCAAACATGCTATACTTGTCCTGTCTTTTTCTAATTGTACTGCCATTAACTTTAACATTTAACATGTTAACTGAGGGCTGTAGAGTATAGGGTGTAGTTCTTGGGTGTTTTGCGCAGTGGACGGTCTGACCTTGGGGTGAATTTGCTGGGACGTCCACTCCTGGGAAGACTGGCAACTGACTTGTTTTCCACTTGTGAATAATCTTCCTCACTGTAGAATGATGGACTTCAAATTGTTTGGAAATGGCCGTATAACCCTTCTCGGATTGATGGCAGCAACATTGCTGATGTTTCTCCTCCTTGGCATTGAGTTAATGCACACCTGAATGCTCCAGACCAGCAAATTGCCAAACATAAAACATTAATAGAACATAAAATGAATGGAAACACGCTGCTGCTGAGAGAGGTAGGCCTTCTGTAGCAGGTGTATCTAGGCAGGTGGTGCTGCTGGGGAGATGGAGGGATAGAATAATAATTTGCACTCAGTCATGGTTATAAAGGGAAATGGTACATGAAATCAATTGCCTGAAAATGTTACATTGAACAAGTCAATTAGAACTCAAATAGTTTCATGGTTGAACTACTCAAAGGAGAAGTGCTCACTAACACAGATTTAGACAGATTTGTGAACAATATTTGAGAGAAATAGGCCTTTTGTGTAGTATACATAGAAAAAGTCTTAGATCTTTGAGTTCAGCTCATGAAAAATGGGGGCAAAACAAGTGTTGCGTTTATAATTTTTTTCATTGTGTGTGTATGTGTGTGTATATATATATATATATATATTGCATTTATTTTTATTAATGGCAAAAACTATGGTAGATTGTATAAAAGCAGTGGCTGTGGTTGTTGTTTAGGTGTGGGGAGGAGCAATGGCAGTGACCTGAAGGTGAAGATCATAGTGAAGCGAGAGCTCGTCTTCCAGGGTGTTTGTGCTAAACAGCAGAACTGTACAGTAAGTATGCAAAGCTGGAGAGGATTGTTGTGTTGAATGCATGTTTCTGTTCTCTAAAATAGGCTCAAAGGGCAAAGCTAGCAACTTTTGGCATACTAAACACTTACACCTATGCACAATTCTTTGTAGGATCAATAGCTTAAATTTCAGTCTGATCGTCCTGTCGTGTGTGTTTGTGTGTGTGTGTGTTTTTCAGGTGTTTCCTGACACTGGTAGTAATGCAGTGGTCATCAGTTTGCAGGAAGGGCCTGTCGTAACTGGAGATGTGAAGGTCATGTTTGAGTCCAGTGCGGTAAGCCTCCACTATTTTTAAGTATTTAATTGACCCATGCGTTTTATGAAGTGCTGTTGGCGGAAAGTTTGAATGAGGTTCTGGGACTTGAACTTCCCTTTTTCTCTCTGTCCAGGGTCTGCCAAAGGGTTACGAGGACTGTCCATTCTATTTCTGGTTCAACACCTCTTTTGTTGAGAACAACAGGTGGGTTTTTTTTTGTCAGTAATTTGGGGATTTTATTTTTGGGGTGACTTATTTAAAAAAAAAAATTTTGTTTATCCGAGACCTCACTGAAATCTTTTGCATTGATGTTTTTGTGTCATAGACTGTATCTCTCGAGGGAGGAGCTAGACAATCCACACAAATCTAAGACCTGGGACATCTATAAGGAAGACTTCGGAGTGACAGTGGTCTTCACAGATCCTTGAGGAGAACATTCTCAGACAGCTCTGACCATTTTTGTAGTTTCTTATGAGAGGTGTACTGAAAAGCTACAAACTAAAGCAAATGTTAACACTCCATGTGAACTTATAGCTTTTTGAGATTTGAATGTGATTTTTGTAAAAAAAAAAAAAATTCACTCCATTGTATTTCCATGGTTGTCTTTTTGTGTAAATATTTTTTGCAATGCTCAGTACATGTGTTTTTCTTAGTTTTTATTGTGGTTCTATTTATGTTAGGCTAAAGTTTAAAATTCTGTCAAGGAAATAATACCAAACAAAAGCATTTACATATCAAAACACCTGCTTCCATGGAAAATACTTGACATATTTCTTGAGTTTACATGCTGTCATCTGGCATCATACCGACCCCTAGTGATTCTGCCCTGTATTGCATTCAGGTGTTGAAGAGTATTTGATATGAAAGGGATGCTTTATAAGTTTAAATCGAAGTTGTGAATGATTTAGAATAATTACATTGGATAAAACAGAGTAAAGCCCCGTCCACACCAAGATAACTATTATCGTCCGAACAAAGGTCCAAACCAGCGGATGATATCGTTGTTTATTCTAAGCGCGTGCAGCAGGATGGATTCTGATTGGATGTCTATGTTTTTTGTATCGTTCATCAGCTGGATAAAATCCCCCTTAAAGTGATTCAAACGATATCGTTTTTCTGTGCCGTTAGCGTTATAGCTCGTTTATCGTTTAATATTGCGAACGATTTTTAGAATGATATAGTTATCGTCCTTGGTGTGAACGGGCCTTAAAAGTAGCCATAAGAATAGCCCATTTTACTATTTCAACGGGGTCCTAATCTGTTGTTGTAAATTGAATGACAACTCAAATCACTTATTGCATGTTGATTAATTCAAAATAATAAGTTAAATATACACATAATACCATAAAAATTAGTAAGATTTTTTTTCATGTTTTCGAAAGAAGTCTTTTATGCTCCCCGGATGTATGCATTTGATCAAAGATACAGTAAAAAGTGTAATATTATAATTTAACCAAAACTACTATCAATTTTAATACATTTTTACAGTAGTCAACATTTTAAGTGGATAAAAAAAAAGTTAATAAAAGTTGTCTTAAGACAAGAACGGGCATTGCTTAAAATTCATGTAGGCTAACTTTGATGAAAGGTTTGGTCCACTTCAAATGTTGACTACTGTAAATGTAGTTAATTTCAGTGATGGCAAAGCTGAATTTTCAGCATTATTACTCTAGTCTTCAGTGTCACATGACCCTTCAGAAATCATTCTAATCTGGTAGTGTACATAACTTAAAGGGGTGGAATAATGCCCCTTTTTTACAAAATTTAAAATGTCTCTGATGTCCCCAAAGTGTGAATGTGAAGTTTTAGCTAAAAATACTCCACAGATATTTTTTTATAACATGTTAAAACTGTCCCTTTTTAAGCGCGTGCAAAGTTGTTTTGTGTCCCTTTGCATGCAAATGAGCTGTTGCTCCCGGCACAGAGGACAGAGCTTTAAGAGCTCGTTCTTAGCAAAGCCATATAGAGCCCTTTGTTGCGAGGCTGGGTTTATCTAAATTTTGGCCGTTTGTGATGACACCAACCCAGGAGGAAGCTTGTGTAGTCCCTACCAGCCTTTTGTTGTAATCCTTAAAAAGTGATTTCTATAAAAGAAAATATCTCCCTTTGCTTTGAACTTTGCAGATGTTGTTTATGCTCAAACAGCAACATTACACACTAAAGTTAGGAAAGTGAAATCATCAAACACCCATTTAAACCTATAAACGAACCACTTCAAAATATTTTTTTATTTAGTAAGACCTTCATATTACCTATGATAACTACATTCATAAAGTCCCACAACAATTGGAAAATCATTTATTTATCATCCAGTGACAATTACAGAATCTCCTCAGTGCATCATTTCTTTACCAATTGAAACAAATACTGTGTAATGACTTGGTGTTGAATCAACAAACTGTCATCTAATACGATTGACCTCGAACAGGCTCCAGTGTGCATAGTGTAGGTCAGTGCAGGAAGAGAACACACACACACACACAAAAGTACCTAACCACAATCCACTCGAGTGACACAAAACACTCTGAACCCTTTAAGTGAGAATGAGGACTGAGCAATTGTGGTTTTTATGAGGCACTAACACACCACTTGGTTGTGAAGTCACTACCCGTTCCATTTTCAACCAGTAATGCTTTTCTCAAGTTCACTGCTCTAAATTACATGTCTTTCTGAGAACTGACTTTTTAACCCAATCTTGATCAAACACCTACAGTACTACAGCTGTTAATGCCAACAATGTCCATAGCAAGTCAGATAAATAGCAAACAGTAAAACAAGAACAAAAATCAAACAGTTTGATTATGTTGATGACAAAATGAAACAAATGCTACCAAAAATATTCAAAAGAAAGTGCTAAATCAAGAGTCTGTGACATTAGTTTGGTATTAAACCCATTAGAGCTCTATGGCCATTTTTTATATTTTCTCAACACATTGTTTTCCTAAAAGAGTGCTTATCTCCGTGTAGCACATCACATTGTATTAAAATGTCGTATCGCCCGCTGTGCAGGAGACAGATTAGTGAAGTCTTGCAAGTGTCTGTGCAGGGCTTTGATACGTGGCCTTTATGAAAGAGGTACCAGAAGCGCTGGAAGACACGGTCATCATTCACCATGATTTTGATCAAACCGTCCATGTCTGCTGGGAAGAGTGTGGACAAACCGTAGGCCTCAGAGGCGCGGTACAGCAAGGTCCATGATGGGCTGGGGTAGGGTTTTGAGGGCCGTTTGTTGGCAAGAGTCAGGTTGAGAATAAAGGTCTCGTGATCCAAAACCATGCGACTGCTGCCTGGGTAGTTTCCATCCACGTAATAAACACGATATCCTGACCATAAAAAGGGATGTTATAGCAATAAACCATGAAAAACCTGACAATAATTTTACCATGGTTAAGTTTATCAGGTTTTTTTTACACATTATATTACGGTTGGCAATTTTTATAAAGACACCAATGACACTAAATGCAAAATGCTAAAATAAAATAAATCAAATGCTAAAATGAAACAAAAACCAAATTCTAAATTAAAACAAAATAGCCTAATGCTAAAATAAAATAAATGTAAAAAAAAAAAAAAAAAAGAGTAATAAAAAAAAACTAGATTGTAAAATAAAAATAACTGAATATATATATATATAAAAAAGACAAAATAACCAAATGCTAAATTAAAAAAAAAGAAAAGAAAAATTCCAAATAAATAAAAACTAAAATAAAAACTAGATGCTAAAACAATATACACAAGATGCTACAATAAAAAAAACGAAAAACTAAATGCTAAAAGAAAAAGAAAAAAAAACCAATATGGCTCAATAAGTACCTGGGTTCAGGTTGACATAAGTGGTCACACTCGGGGCAATGAAAGCCACACTCAGTGGACGGGTCATTGTTTCCTCATCATAGAACATCTGAAACTCATCGACGTGAGTGTGTCCGAAAAACTGACCAGTTATGGTGCTTTCATATCTAAAAAAAAAAAAGAAAAGATTAGAAAGGAACCAGACTGATCGCTAAAGTGAAGTTGACTCAAGTGAACCATTAACCATTGCACTACATACACCTACCGATACATATGGCAAAAATACACAATTATCTCAAAAACAGGCAGTTACAGTCAACATGACCCATTTCCACAACAATACGACACTTATGATCATAAAAGACACTGTGTAATAACCCTTTAGGCTGCAGTCACGCAGTTGTGTTGACCCAGCTACGGGTTACAACAGATGAAAGTGCACGAGTTGTGTACAGCAGGATGGGCTTTACAATGTTCACACAGAACAGTGACTGACCTGTTGACTATATGATAGTAGTTCCAACTCCAACTGCTCAGGCAGAGACCCGGGGGAATGTGACCGATGATGTGGACCTAAGAGAGACCAGACAGAGCTCTGCTTAGATTTGCTTATTGAACAAAACCACAAACAAAACAATATCTTGCAGTCTTGCAAAAAAAAAAATAAAAAAATAAAATAAAAAAAAAATCCTGGACCCTTAGTGGTAAAAACAATAGATTGCAATACAGTAATGGCCAAAAGTGAACTCCAGCCTAGGGTAATTGTTGACATCACTCTTTATTCAAATATTATTTACAAAATTGTGTTTAAGATTTTGCAAGCATATTGCGTAGTTGTGCTTGGAGTCAAATGTTTTATTTGTGATAACGCAATGAAACGCCAAATTGTGTTGATAGAACTTTTGGTTCCTGATCGGTCCGATCGCGTTCCGCTGCCCGGTTGCACAGTCCAATGGACAGCCTTGATATCAAACAAAGAAATTATGAACATGCAAAAACATAAGAAAAGCAGCAAAATATTAATATTGTAGTAGTCATTGTAAGCTTTTTTCCTGGGAGCATTTTTTTTTGTATAGTAAAATAAAACCTGCATTTGTTGGCCTTTATTTTCCAAATAATTTTGGTAGATAAATACCTTAAAGATTAGTTTTAAAACTTAAAAGTCCTTCATATTTAATATATATATATATATATATATACACTCACCGGCCACTTTATTAGGTACCCCATGCTAGTAACGGGTTGGACCCCCTTTTGCCTTCAGAACTGCCTCAATTCTTCGTGGCATAGATTCAACAAGGTGCTGGAAGCATTCCTCAGGGAGTTTGGTCCATATTGACATGATGGCATCACACAGTTGCCGCAGATTTGTCGGCTGCACATCCATGATGCGAATCTCCCGTTCCACCACATCCCAAAGATGCTCTATTGGGTTGAGATCTGGTGACTGTGGAGGCCATTTTAGTACAGTGAACTCATTGTCATGTTCAAGAAACCAATTTGAAATGATTAGAGCTTTGTGACATGGTGGAAGTAGCCATCAGAGGATGGGTACATGGTGGCCATAAAGGGATGGACATGGTCAGAAACAATGCTCAGGTAGGCCGTGGCATTTAAACGATGCCCAATTGGCACTAAGGGGCCTAAAGTGTGCCAGGAAAACATCCCCCACACCATTACACCACCACCACCAGCCTGCACAGTGGTAACAAGGCATGATGGTTCCATGTTCTCATTCTGTTTACGCCAAATTCTGACTCTAACATCTGAATGTCTCAACAGAAATCGAGACTCATCAGACCAGGCAACATTTTTCCAGTCTTCAACTGTTCAATTTTGGTGAGCTCTTGCAAATTGTAGCCTCTTTTTCCTATTTGTAGTGGAGATGAGTGGTACCCGGTGGAGTCTTCTGCTGTTGTAGCCCATCCGCCTCAAGGTTGTGCGTGTTGTGGCTTCACAAATGCTTTGCTGCATACCTCGGTTGTAACGAGTGGTTATTTCAGTCACTGTTGCCCTTCTATCAGCTCGAACCAGTCTGGCCATTCTCCTCTGACCTCTGGCATCAACAAGGCATTTCCGCCCACAGAACTGCCGCTCACTGGATGTTTTTTCTTTTTCGGACCATTCTCTGTAAACCCTAGAGATGGTTGTGCGTGAAAATCCCAGTAGATTAGCAGTTTCTGAAATACTCAGACCAGCCCTTCTGGCACCAACAATCATGCCACGTTCAAAGTCACTCAAATCACCTTTCTTCCCCATACTGATGCTCGGTTTGAACTGCAGGAGATTGTCTTGACCATGTCTACATGCCTAAATGCACTGAGTTGCCGCCATGTGATTGGCTGCTTAGAAATTAAGTGTTAACGAGCAGTTGGACAGGTGTACCTAATAAAGTGGCCGGTGAGTGTATATATATATACATACACACAGGTATGTTTTCCTCAAATGTTGATGGTTTAATCAAACTTGTAGGGTCAAAACTAAAATCCCGACTGGACATCACTTTTGGCCACCCCTGCAGATCATTTGCATCTGATATGTTAAAATTAAAACTGAAACTGCACCCACTGCATCACACATCCACTTCTGGTTGGTCTGACTCATGACCAGTTGCTTGGTAGTTTAAACAACTCTAACCCACAGACACAAACACTATCAGTGCAACTTGTTAAACTGCTGCAACATGCAAAGGCTTCAACACTGTTCTGTTTTTCACATCCTTAGAGAAACCAGAGAACATCTAATTTGTTTCTTGAGTTCTGTAAACTTCTCTGACCTTCTCTCCCTTGTTCTCAGACTCTTGTAGTATGTGAATGAGCCACTGGAGCTGATCAGCCGGGTCCGTGGAGTTCACCATCAGCCAGTAGTTCTCTCGTGCACAGAAGTTCATGTTCAGAGACACCAGCCTCAAACCACGCTGAACTTCCACAGTGTAGAACCCTCCACGCCTGGAGAAAACAACACAAACAATTAAAACAAATTGTATGCATTTAAAATATTATTAATTATTATGATTATTAAAAATAATAATTAAAACATAGCAATTACAACAATACTAATACAAATGATAATAATAATGAAACTGTAGTAGGAGTAATAAAACACCAAACGTATCTGTAGTATTGCATTTGAAAATAAAGCTGCAAAAATATAAGTAATAATTAATAAAATTAATAATTAAACAATAGCAATAACAATAAATGATATTATAATATTCATATGGTTTATTATTTATAAACCATTTATTATTATTATTATAATATAATCATTATTATTTTTAAACAGTAAGAGTGAAAACACCAGAAATGTAGGCTATCCACCCATCTATGGTATTGCATTTAAAATATTTAGCTACAAAATATGTAATAAATTGGGTCTAATAATAATAATAAAATCATAGCAAAAACAATGATACTACTACTATATTATTATTAGTAGTAGTAACTAAAAGTGAAAACTTCTCAAATGTATCTATGCAGTATTGCATTTAAAATATTAAGCTCACAAAAAATAAGTCATAAATAATACAAATTATAATTAAACATTAGCAATAATAATATATTTTTTTATTATTATTATAAAACCATAAACGTGAAAACAATCACAAATGTATCTATGCAGTACTGAATTTAAAATATTAAGCTGCAAAATATGATGTAATAATAAAAAACAATTAGTTACGACAACAACGGTCTTAATATGATTTTATGTATTTATCAGTGACAATACTTATTTATATCAGAGTGTGATATAGTTTGTATTCTTTCCATCAGTACTTTACCGTATGGTCTCGAGTGCTTCCTCAGGCAGCCAGGATGCCCACTCCTTCGCCATAGTGTCATACAGCCAGCGGGACGACCAATTCCCATGTACAAACGGAGGTGGGAAACTATTCACCGGAGTGCTCTCGTGATTCCCAACAGATGGGTACACGGTTACATTAGGCCCCAGGTGTTTGAGTATCAGTCTAGTGATGATGGTGAGCTCGTTCAGCTGTTGTTTCCGGGACTGAGACCAGACGTTGTGTGCTGGAATGTCTCCTGTCCAGTACACCCAATCCCATGGGCCGGATTTGGCTAACGTTTGGAGGAGATTCTCCACTGTGCGTAGAGGCAGGTCACATTTGCCATATGTGCCCCAGTATCCGGCTCCACTGTGCTTCCAACTGGCCCTTCCGGAGTCATTTCGACAGCACAGTGGCTTCTTACAATCTACAAGGCTGCCTTGAGCGTACTCCGCATCCCAGTGGATATCTGTGAGGAACAGGATCCTGCTCTGTGGAGAGCCTGGTTTGGGAGGGGTGGGTGGGTTAATTGGGGGTTTGGGGACCCGTGGCAGGGATACATTCCAGGGGGCATAAATATCAAAATGGCCACATGCAGGTCCAACCAGCAGAGCGCAAGCCTCCGAGGGCCAGAGGAAGGACTCCTGCAGCGCACGGATGAAATCTTCTCGGAAGAGCTCAGTGATCTCTCGGCATACATCTGGATCAGCGAGGTGCAGTCGGACACAGGCATCTCCCAGAACACGTGCCACACGCTCCTTGTTTGAATCACTCTGGTCATAAAGGAAGCACAGAACTTAATAGTTGCCACTCTTTATTTTCATGGACAGATCAGAAACTTCACTCAAATAATTTTTTACAGGGGTATTTGAAGTTAGAGCATCACAATTATCCATTTAGAACACAATAATCAAACAAAATTATGTATAAATGATATGCATTTAAATATATTTTGAATATGCCTTTAGTTTAAATGTACGTTTTTACTTTAATGTATATAATGAAAATAAATTGCGTAATTATTTGAAGAATTGTCTAAAAATATACACATACAAATTTATAATATACACAAGATATAACATGTACGTTTAAATTAGGGCTGTCAAACGATTAATCACGTTTAATCGCATCCAAAATAAAAGTTTGTGTTTACATAATATGTGTGTGTACTGTGTATAATTATTTTTAATACATAAATACCCACACATGCATGTGTATTTAAGAAATATTTGCATGTATATACTGTATATAGACAATGTAGCCTATATAATGTATATTTTATATAAATATAAACATTTTATATATAAATAACATTTTACTTAAATATATACATGTGTGCATTTATATACAAAATAATTATACACAGTACACACACATATTATGTAAACAGAAACACAAACTTTTATTTTGGATGCGATTAATCGTTTGACAGCCCTAGTTTATATATATATATATATATATATATATATATATATAAATTTTATACATGTAAAAAAATACACATTTTAAATATAGTTATTTTTTCATTTTAAGTATTATTTCAAATAATTATATTAATGCATATATGCTTTTAAATAAATGTGTGCATGTATATATGTGATTATGACTAATTCTACTATAATTAGTTTACTATAACATAAATATACACATTTTTATATACAATATTTTGGCCTATGATGGCAGGCAGCTCAACGAGTATCATCTTACTGAACAAAAGCGAACTGTGTGAACTTCACTTTCAGCTCTCTAAAACAAGACAACCTTTATTACAACAAGAAAGTCAGGGGAGTAAAAACAGCCAATAACATCATGGGAAAAGCGTAAAGGTACGTGTCTCACCAGCAGCGCGATATCAACCGAGGCGAAGATCGCTTTACACACCGCGCAGGACATGTTGTGCCAGCTGAACCCGAGCTTCAACCGATCAAACTCCTCCACGAACCTCAGCTCGGGCGCATCTCTATCCCCTTCAAGAGGGTATGAGAAGACAATAAGCACCGAAAACAATGTCCAGACCATGAAGACACCGCTGAAGGTGGACAACCCGAAACCTGGACGCTTCATCCTGGTTGCGACACTGCGGTAAACTGTATCAGTTCCCTGTCATTACATATAAAGTCTGTAGCGACGACTCCAGGAAAACGTGTTTATTCTTGAACAGACTCGGAGGAAGAAATTGTTACACCTGGAGTAAATAAAACAAGCGTCAGAATAACTCGAATTCGCGTTTTGTTTTTAAGCAGTTGTGAATATCCAAATTGTGTTCTGAAGAGCCAGTTGTCTGCCCCCCGCTCAACTGTACCGCGACCCGGGCAAACCTGTGTGTCCTGAAACGTTTATATAGCGTCAGCTGACTGATCACGTGACATGCTGACAAAGCTTCTAGTCACGTGCCTTACTGCTTTTGTAAACATGAAAGTATTATTTATAATATATTTTTATATAGTAGTATATAGGACAACGACGTGAAGCTGATTCTTTGTCCGGAACTGTTAAATAATAAAAAATATATTAAATTGAAATTGATACAAATGACTTAGGTACATCTTTTCTATTAAGATGTACCTAAGTCATAAGCTTAAGGTTTTAATTAAGGTTTTAAATAAGTTAAGGTATAATTATCGAGAGATTGTATAAAAATAAAAACCTTAAAAGGCTGACATTTAAATATATATAAGAAATGGTGGAATTAGTTTGGTATATATTATTTAAAATATTTATCTAAAAACATAAAGCAATTTAGTTTTTAAAAAACAGTAATTGTCCATGACCAACATGAAGGAATTTTGATGATTTTTTTATGTGACAAGAAAACCAAAAACACGACCCCTTTAGATCATCAACAACAAATCAAATTTTGTTCAGGTAAAAAAAAAAAAAAAAAAACTTTTTATAAGTTTAAAGAAGCTTTTCATTTAGAAGTAGCTTAAAGCATATCACATCGCAAAACACTGTTGTCAATTTTCATGTCAACAACCCAATAATTTATTTTCTGACTGATAAATGAACACAGATCAAAACACTTTGCATGGCCAAAACATTTTATTTGTTCTTATTTTCTTTTAGTAAACTTTAGTTATCATGAATAAAATATAAACAGTCCAAATCTCCAAAATAAAGAATTAAGTTTCATTAAAAACCTCACAGGGTGAGAAAGAAGTAAGCATAAGTTAGATAACCAGTCTTTTTTTTCATAATCACCGCTATTTGCTTTTCAAAACATAAAAAGAAACACTGAAACTAAAAAAAGATAATTTATGCATGTCAAGTATGCTTGTTTTTGTCTCTTGGTTTTCCTATTGCATACTGGTGAGCGGATAAGTGGAACACTGTGAAAGCAAAACAAGGAAGTAAATAGATGTAGTGTTTAGAAAAGCAAAAAAATAAAGGCACTCATGGGCAGCCTAATGTATCGCCCATGAAAAAAACACATGTATACAAGTATAAAAATCTCTCAGATATTTCAGCACGTAACATGCTTAACATGTACAATGTAAATTAGAATACAGGAGCCGGAGGCATGTTAGTTACATAACAGAGGATGCAGAAATCATGCATTTGTATGGATCAAGTAAATATGTAGGTTTATGGGAGCTAGTATTAGAGATATGACCCATGATGCGTGCCAATCTGTGACACAGACGTTCTCACATTTGATGTGGCGTGTAAATGGCTCTTCCTTTAAGCATATGGTACCTTAATCTAACATATCAGGTTTTTATACAATGTATTTCCCTGCTATGAGAGGGACTGTACAATCGTGATATTACGGGCACTTCATAGTTTGTTTTTTTGTTACATGATAAGGCATAAAATTGGCATTAGCTATTGCATTATTGCACTGCTTTTTTAATTTTAAAAACAGATAAATCTCAGGCAAACTTGGCCTATAGGACTTTTGTTATCAGGACAATCTAAAGCAAACACATAGTTGAAAGACAATGGCACGATGCTTTAAATACTAACAGCGGCTGATGCATGCACATTTGCAAATAATACAGATTTTGAGTTTGGTGGCGTCCCTTTGATGGAGTGAAAATGACAGAAATGGAGCGAGTGCGCAAAAAGATGCAGAAAATGTGGGAGTGGTTAGTTGAAAACTGATTTCACTGTACATTCACTGCGTCCAAAGACCGTTGCCGCCACTTCTTGTTTAATGGCTATAGAAAACAGGGTTCTGAGAGGAGCGTCCAGAAAACACGAAAAAGGACAGATGAACATATATATGCACAAACACACGTCATCTTCACTGATTGCATGTAAGAATATAGGACAGTGAGAACGTGGCTTTTAAAAATGTTCAACAGCGCTTCCACAAAGCGTTTTTTTTCTTTAGCAGAGGGCTACAGTGGCATAGAGCACTTTGGTGAGTGGTGAATTTTAAGGCAATACTGTGAACTCAGTGTTTGCAGGGCTGTTTCATTTGTCTTGCATCTTCTCTAGGATGGGCACGATCATGTCAAATTTGGGCCTCTTGGCGGGGTCCTCGTTCATGCAGATCTTCATTAGCTTGCAGATGTGGGGGGAGATGCCCGGCGGGATGGTGGGCCGCAGTCCCTCTAGTGCCACCTAGTGGAGAGAATAGGGATAAGGGTGTCTGGTTTGGCTCTTGCTTGGAAAGCCAGGTGCATATGATGGAATCCATCTCACCTTCATGCCGATCTCCATGTTTGAGAGGTCAGCGAACGGCACCTCTCTGGTGACGAGCTCCCAGAGCAACACGGCGAAGCTCCACATGTCCGCAGAGCGCCGGTTTATCTCCTCGGGCTTCTTCTGTAGGGCTGAGAGGAGATGTGGAGGGAGGTGTTAAGGTATCAGTGGATCAAAACTTTAGTTTAAGATTACATTTATTGTTGTTCTGCAAGTTTTCGCAGGCGACATTCACAACATTAGTCATGTAGATTCACCACGTTCATCAACACAAAGCTGCTTGGTTTGAAAGTGGCTTCTGAGTGAGCGGTGCTTCATGCATCACTACACTATTGACAATGGACTTTTTTGCCTTAATGCGCAGAAATTGTGCAAATTATTAGACTGATATATTGGATAAAGTGAAATCTTCTTGAGAAGTTTGAAATGAAGAATTTTGAGAGTGAAGGAGAGGATTGATACCTTCAGGTGCCACCCATGCGGGAGAGTACATCCTGCCGGGACACTGGAAGGAGAACTTCACATCTGCCATGCTTATCCTGGCCGTCATGTCCTCGTCAATCTGATGTCAGTGAATCAATGAGAACAGATTCATTAGGATAACTGAGCATTAAACGGTTATTTAGGCCAAACTCACTGTTTTTGCTTCATACAAACTGCAGAAAAACTGAAGCTTAATCAGTGTACCCTGTTCTAAATAAATGGGAAACTAATACTTTTTTCAGCAAGGATGCATTCAATTGACCAAATGGATGCATTAAATGTGACATTTAAAATAAATGTGTTCTTTTGAACTTCTATTCATCAAAGAATCCTTAAAAAACATGCATCACAGTTTCTGCATATTGAAATACTATTAAGTATTAAGCAGCCCAACTGTTTTCAACATTGATAATGATAAGAAATGTTTCTTGAGCACCAAATCAGTATATTAAAATGATTTTTTAAAGGATCATGTGACACTGAAGACTAGGGCTGGGACGATACACCTATCTCCCAATTCGATACAATCACGATACTTGGGTGCCGATACGATATGTATTGCGATTTTTTCAAGAATTGTGATTCTACAAGTATTGTGATTCGCTATTACAATATATTGCAATTTTTTTAACACTAGACTATCGGGAAAAGTTAAATCATATACTTATACAAACTGTACATAATGTAGAAGAGGGGTCATATTTACAAAAACAAATCATCACATCTTTCTGACTTTTATTTCAGAAGCATCATACAATACTACATTCTCTTGAATATATGATTAAAAAACAAATACATTTTTAACAGTCACTTGTCGCCACTTAGTGGCGAAACAAAGTAATCGATAAATGCATTATTTTAAGCACCAAGTTGCTATCAAAAGCTGATTTTGATCGCTATCGTAGACATCAGTGTTCATATTTGAACTTTTATCCAAGTTTCTATGATAATTTGAACTATTGCATCACAGAAATAATGATACTATGAGGTTGAAAAGACTGTTTTTGAAGCTGTTTCATGACAACTCTCTCTGGGTCAGCGGCAGCGCCAACACAGCTTTGAATGTTGCGATATGATTTTGTCAAAGTTTAATAGACAGACGAATTGAAGGATCGCATGGGTGTTTGAATCGAGATCACAGACTTTTAAAGATGAATCGTGCAGCTCTATTGTCTTATCTCTCTCTCAGCATATGGGTAGCGCGAGGGCTTTTCAGTGCTGTAGCCCAATTTATATTTCTGCGTCAAACTCAAGGCGTAGGCTGTGTGTAGCGCGCGTACCCTTCGGCGCACCCTGACGTGCACCTCTCCAAAAATGGGTTATTTTCCACTTGGGATATTACGTCACTCAACACTCATAGATAACGACACATTTCATCCTCTGTTGGAGGAACGAAAGTGGCTAACTTCCGTTTTACTGTATTTCTGAATAAATAAATACAGCCTTGGTGAACATAAGAAACTTCTTTCAAAAACATTTTAAAAAATGTGTAATGTTAGCAGTTCTTAGTTTGATACTCGTGCAGTTTTGCCTTGGTTTCACTTGCGTTGTGGGTCAATGACAATCCATTGTGCTTTACTGATCGTGACTTTCACAGCTTTTCATTTTCTAATGGACATTACAGACCATTGATGTTTGTTAAAAACAGACAATGAGAAATCCACAATCAAAGAATGTTCTTTCACTACAACACTCTGCAACTTGAATCTTTCAACTTGTGATGGGATGCACGGAAACTTCACAGAGAACTAAGACCGTCTACAGCAGTTCCTGTTCACAGTGGTTTATTCACTGAGACTAAATTTGTGGAGGGCAAGTTCCACTGAATCAGTTCCACATACCATGACAGCAAATAAACAAACTTATATTTTGCAATGACTGGTTAACACTGAGTAATGAATGTCTGTGGAAATGAATCTACAGCAAAGCTCATGTCGCCTAGTAGAAAAGACAGGAATAGACACACTGGAAAACCCCACAGTTGTAGAAACCAAGATAAGTGGGAAACGTCTCCTTTCCGTTGCTCACCATGACACTCTTGCTGTTGAGATAATGCCGAGGGATCATGGGCTCCAGTGTGTGCAGGAAAGCCATTCCACATGCTATATCCAGGCCAAACTTTACAGCCTGCGTCTGATCCACAACAAAGTCTAAATGGACGAGAGAAAGAAGAAGATACAAGAGAAGGTTTGAGAAAGACTTTTATTTTTCCTGACTCAGCATAAGTAAATATAACTCCAGAATATCCAGAATTGAAAGAGCATTTAAGCAAATTTTCAACATTAAACATTCAAATGAAGCAGACATACACCACATGATTTGAGTGAGACAGTAATGTGTGTTTTACTCACTGGTCCCCTCGTGAAGCACATTGTACAGGGAGCCATAGGGCATCCAGTGTGTAATTATGATTGGATGAGGGGCGGGCGGAGCTTGACACGCCCCCAACATGGGCAACACATTGGGGTGGGAGAAGATTCTACAGCAGGGGAAACGGGACACATGAACACACAGATACAACAGACCACTAACACGATGGAGACATTTCTTTCACAGATTAAAGATGACAGATCAGGACTGCCCTCTCTTTTGGAATAAAATAGTTCACCTAGACTTTTCCCTTTTTTCTATCTTTAAATTTGTTCCCTTTGGTATTGATGATATACCTGTATTGACGATAACCATGATATTTAGAATATTTAAAATTGAATCTGGTTGACACTCCAACATAGTAGGTGTACACTTCTGTACAGTTATGGTTACAAACACTCACTCTTTAAAAAAAAAAATATTAAACAAAAAGTAAGATGAATTTGACTGATAGCATTTTTTTTATTTCAAGAGAATTGAACGAGATAATGTGGTACTCCTCCAGTAGTTCAGAATCAGCTTGATTGGTGAACTAATCACTCTTGGAGTGATTGGGAGTATCCCTTTAAGAAGACTGAATATAGTGCAAAAGGCGTATGTGGCTTTTTGAAGCTTGAAATTTCAAGTACGATTAGGACCTTTTTTTAAATTCTCTGTTTGTTTCCACAAAAGAAAGAAAGTCATACAGATATGGAACATTGCTATTATCATCAGATATTAGTATCAATGATTTAAAATTAGATAAAAAAAGTTTTTATTTTTATATTTTCTGTTTCATTTAAAGGTACAATATTTAAGACTTTTATAATAAAATATCCAAAAATCACTTGCACAGTGTGATATATTTCCTGCAGTTGTGTACTTACAATATCCCAAAAGTTCCCAAAGATTTTTAATTTGAGAGAAATTCCAATTTTAAATAGTTATCCGTCCCGGAATTTTCACTTGTCGCCTGTCACTGACGTAATATCCGCGTTATCCCTGGTTTCCGCTCGTGCAGTACGAGCAGAGTAACCATGGCGACGGACGTGGACAACAGCGTTACGTCTAGCTGCAGTTGTTTTGTTTAAACATTATGGAACATGGCAAGCAGGATCAATATCAGCGTGGCGTTTTCGAGATGCCGAGAGCTTTACGTCCGTGACAAACTTCGACTTGACAGAGCTCTTACATGTACTTTATTAGACAGGTGAGCAAATGTACATAAAACTAATCAATGTTATATAGTTCAACATGATGAAATGTTAGAATATGATCAATGTATTCACTCATCCATAAGCATTATTAGATCCATAAGCTTGACGACAAGTTCCATAATTCAACTGGAATTTTGCGTCATCAACCTACGCCTTTGTTATTGTAAGAGGTTAGCGACCCCTAGCGGCGCAAACAATTACATATTGTATCTTTAAGTTAAAGCTTTAATAATTTTGTTGTGTATTTTTGTCATTTTTATTAGTTTTATTTTTAAATGTCCATATAGTTATGAATTTTTATTTCAGTTTTAGTTTGTTATTTTAGTACATCAAGTTAAACTAAATGAAAATGAGAAATGTTGTTTCCTTGACAAATATTTGTATACATTTTCTTTTATCATTTATATTATTGTTTAACAAGTAAAGAAATAGTTTTTTATGTTTTAATTTTAGGCAACTATAATAACCCTGATTTCGGAATGAGTACATGATGACAGAATTCATTCCCTTTAATCTGTGTAATCTGGGCACTAGAGATGCACCGATTGATCGGCTGGTGACCGGAATCGGCCGGTTTTCACGTGATCGGCCATGATCGGCGACCGGCCGGTCAGTCTGACGTATGCCGATTTTATGCCGGTCAAATGCACTCGGGCGCCGCATGATTAACATCGCGCAACATCAGTATCACACGTGCACACGGAACACACATGTAGGAAACCTCGTGAATTACGACCGTTTCACACCGCAAGCGTGAGCAGCGGGGTTTTTTTTTTCTTCGGCGTGCATGTTAATCAATGAGTGCATTCACACCGGGAGCAGGAGCAGCGCGTGAGCGTCAAGCAGGAGCGTCGCGTGAACAACAGTGAAGCGCGGGTTTCGGCGCCGAGTCTATTCTGCTCGCGCTCAATTAAAGTGAAAGCATACTTTTGATGGACAAAATAAATATGATTTCACCCCAAAAGTGCCCAAAATGCACAGAATTTGCACGTCTGGTGTGTTTTTAACAAGAACTGAAGTAGCCAGGCTATGTCAGAAAAGAAAATTAAGACTCAAAAATATTTATAGAAAATAACTTGTTTTTATTCCCAATCGTTTCTCTGCACATGCTCCACTTGTCTTGTTTAGCCTGGCTGGACATGTGTCAGAGAGAAAAACTGTTTGAGAAATATAACTTGCAACAAGTGATTGCAATAGGCCTGTGTGTGTGTGTGTGTGTGTGTTGAGAAATATATACTGCAAGGGTAGGCTATATTTATTTTATTTTTATTTGTTATTTATATATTATTTTATTGCCATTACCTGTTTTCATACAAAATTTTAGCTTGCTAAATATATCAATTTTTTTTAAGTTGGATATTGGATGTGAAAAGAAAGAAATGCTTCTTCCATAACACTGCACTTTAGATGTGTGTGGATTTCCCACACCAGGAGTAATTTATATAGTTCTATTTTATAGCGATTATCTGGTAAAAAAAAAGTTCTATGCAAAATGTTCTATTAAAGAGAAGATAGAAAATAATATATGTTTGTGTGCGCTGTAAAGTGGTTTAAAAAAAGGAAATCGGAATCGGCTTAAATCGGTATCGGCAGGTCAAACTCAAGAAAAATCGGAAATCGGAATCGGCCTAGAAAATTGTAATCGGTGCATCTCTACTGGGCACATTGGACTGGCGGTTCATCACCTTAGTTTAGGATACTCCTCATTGAAGTCACGGCTCTTTCTAGTAGTCCAGTCCCGCACATGAAGCATCTTGATCACAATCTCTGTGCCCTGCCAGCGGCCCTGCCACAGCTGCCAGAGAGAGACATCAGTGTTTCCATAAACGCTCTGAGACATGGTTTGGGTAGCTATTGTGGTTTAGTTTGGTAAATGAGCTCACCTCCCCAGAGTGATTCTCGTTGATCTTGGCCAGCATGGAGAGCTGCTTATAATCTATGCCCGCGGTTTTGTTTAGTGTACCGTTACCTGCAGACATCATAAAAAAAATGAAACAATCAAACCTTTGTTGTGGATAATTCAAATAATCTTATATTGCAACCTATATACAGTTACAGTGAATGAAAATAAAAGGCCTGTTTGCCAAAGCATCTGCATTATGAATGCAAATGAGAGTCAGATGTTCTGAGAGCACTTACGTGGTCGAGTTCGAGTGGTTCCCTTCCAGAAAGAGTCCTTGAAAGGAACTTTGGACAGGCTCTGTCCCTGTTTCTCCGCCAGCTCTGATTCATAAACACAACAGAATTATTAGGCCTGATGCAACATATTATAACAGAAACAAATCTCTGAAGCTTCACAATGTAAGCAAACAATCCTCCAACAAATCTACTTGCTGACGTCACATTTGCTACATTAGTAAAGAAGAGTGTTTTTATACCTTTCAGATTTGCAGCAAGCGGTGGTTTGGCCTTGTCCAGTGGAGTTTCACCATATTTGTTGCAGATGCTCACCTGAGCACCATTATTGACCAAATCCTGGAGAGAAGATATACAATCCCATATCAGGTACAACAGAAACTCAATTCAGGTATCAATTTCAAAATTCCATACTTTTCCAGACCCAAATTTCCCAAATCCTCTGAAAATGTTTAAGACCATGTTTAACACAAATGGTTCATGCAGCATTATATTTGGTATATAGTACAGTCAATAATCTGTAAATATTAGCACTTACATGATGAGAAGAAACCGAAAATGCTTTATAACCTGCATAATCACGTTTGATATTGTAATCGTGGTTTGAGGTTGCACAATCGCCAAACAGCAAAGTACAGTATGAATTAAATGACGGTTTGCTCCTTTATCTGTTGCTGGTTTGAGTGGCATACGCACATTCGTTTGGTGAAGTTCAAAGACTTGCATATGTTAAAGACAAACAGTTTTGAATAATGAAAATGTGCACCTTGAATTTATTCAGTTGTGTTTTACAATCACTAAACGATACTAAACTTTTGCCATGAATTACTCTGCTTGTATGATACATTTTTAGAAATTCTTAATTTTATATTTTAGAAAACCGAATACGGGATATTTTTCCATACTTTTTCCAAACCTGCAAATTACTCAAATCTAATTGCATACTTTAACAAAAAGCATAGGAACCCTGTAAATTGTTATGTTTTGTAAATCACTGAATGCCAATGTTTTAACATTTCCATTATTTCTGCTCAAATGTTAAAGGGAATTTAAACATTCAAATAATGTGTAAAATAAATTTCAAAATTATGATTTTGTGTGAAACGTTGAGGGTCTATGGTTTGTAATGATACCACATTTAACTGTTAATGTTCCATCAGGACTTTTAAATATCAAAGGACGATTGAAATTAGTTCCGGACCCGTTATCGGTTTACGACCTTGAGAGTGTTTTTTAAAGCTCTTGCCCCCATTTATTATAATTACAAGGAAAACAGCCATTGATCTCCCCTCTACCAACTGAAATGTTTAAAATACAATCTAGAATTTCTAATTTTTCCCAGCAGAGGGCACTTCAGACTAACCTCAGCCACCAGGTCATGGGCCCAGAAGCAAGCATAATGGAGAGGGGTGTTGCCGTGCTCGTTTGCCGCATTGGTATCTGCTTTACACTGGATCAGCTAGACAACACAAACCACAACATGATTCAGTATCCAAAACAGCAAACACAAATCATCCATTTAAAATTTGTTTATAGAACTAAAAGGCATAAAAATGGACATTGTCAGTTCCTTTATTCCTTCTTAAGGTTTAAAGTGTGTGTGTGAAAGTATTTATAACTCTGGGAGCTTCTGTTTGCAGCTGTGTGTTTGTTTACACCGTTCCATGACCGTTGTGGTCACTGTGGTTGTTCAGGTGCAGATGTGTGAGTGTGTGCGTGTGTTAGTGAGCGTTTATCTACTACGTTCTGTTCGCACCTTGGCCAGAATGTCACGGTGGCCATGGCTCGCAGCCAGGTGCAGGGGTGTGTCGTCTCCGCGGTTCATGACATTGATGCGCGCCCCTCTCATGATGAGCATATCCACGACACCCGAACGACCCTCACGGCACGCCCAGTGCAACGGACTGAACCCGTGATCATCCCTGCGAGAAACAAACATATGTTAGCAGAAGAGTCAGTAGCATATCATAATTATCACATCAATACTTAGTCACACTCAAAAAAATATTTAAGCCTAAATTTAAGATTGATGTACTTAAAGTCCCTGTAAAGGGCAATTCTAAAAAAAAATTCTAAACACATTATAAATGTTAGAAATGTATTGCTAAAACATATTACAAAGACTGTGAACTGTGAAGTACTGAATTGTGGAGTAAGACCGTTAAACAGTTTTTCACCATTGCTATTTTCCGGATTTTTTAGGCGGGGCTAAAACGGGGCTCGATGACGCACTGGAGCCCCTGAGCTCGTGGACACGACCCTACTTGACGACGCACTGAGGCTGGCCCCTCCCCTAAAAATAGAGCACATTCACATCAGTTTGCTGCTCAATCGCGAGTCACTGTTACTACCGTTACTACAGCCAGCAGTTTGTTAGCTAGCTATGCCTTCGACACACTACCTGGATGCGATCATGTACAAAACAGATCGGTGTCTTTATTTAAATTTCCTAAACACGATCACATCAAGAAGAAGTGGATTCATTTTGTGAAGAGCCAACCTTGATGGAGAGCTGAGGATCACTCACCACCAACACCTGCCTCTGTTGTGATCATTTTACACGGATAGTTTTATAAACTTTCATCGGAGACAACTGGGATTCACTGATAATCCGCTGTTACTGGTGAATGGGGCCGAATCGACTATCTCCCGCCTCGGCCTTCATCTCCCCGTCGCGAAAGCAGTATCACCTAATATCAGCGTCGGCAGCTTTCCCGCGAGTGGGCGTGGTTTCAGCGCAGCCAGCGGACATGCCCCCAGCGTTTGAGAGCAGAATACTGCTCATTTTTGCAAGATTTTGATAGTTTATTTTATGTACTTGCGGGCTTTTTTTATCATTCAAATTTGGCTGGGTGGCTAATAACACATTTTTCTGTGGTGTGACAACCTCAGAACACATACTTAATTTTGACTTTACAGGGACTTTAAATTGCATTTAAAATGTCCATGTATTTGGATTACACAGTTTTAACAAATCTAATATCTGACCCGTTTCATTTATGTATGACTGACAGATATGCATCACATTAAGCTTGTTTGTTAAAACCAATATTTTTGGAGTGCATACAGGTAGGGAAAAGATGTCAGTAGTTTCATTTTTGGGTGAGCTGTCCCTTTATATCAAGGCAGTTTTTTTAAAGCAGTGGTTGGCGGTAAACTGTCTCCAGTCAGGCTAGTGTTCTCTCTCTCAGCTGTCTGTCTCCAGCCAGTTAAATATAAACAGCCGTTAACTGGCCCTTTCCTCTAGATTATGTATACCCCCCTCCCCCCGCTGTTTGAGTCCGAGATCCGTTCTCAGGCCTTCCTATTTCCTTTTCAAAACTGCAGTAAAACTCGCACTTTCTTCAAGTCGACAGCGACACTTAAGTTACAATAACAACACAGTGATCTGACAGTTCATGTGAACTGATCCAATTGAGGTTTTTACTATTAAAACCACTGAACGCAACTGCTGTGAAAGTGTTATAAAGGTAAAGTCTGCAGCTGGTTATGCTCATCCCCACAGAGATCAGTTGTAAAGTCTGTGGTAATGAAGTGTTTGTTGAAGAGCTGGGTGTGTGCAGTACAGTAGGAAGCCTCTGGATAAATAGTCAGGCCAGTAGTGTGGCTAAACTTAGGGAGAGCTGCTGAAACTTCTCACAAGGTCCTGCCGGAACAGAACGGACCACACACAAACACACACACACTACTCACACTCACCGTGTCAAGTTTGGCCACAGCTGAAGGGGTTAAAGACAAAAACAACAAACAAAAAATAAAGATAAATAAAGAGGAAGAACCCCTGCCCCCAACAAATCAATTAATAAAATTGGATTGGAATCCTACATGAGCTTCCCAATGGGAATTCCGGAATGTTCATTATTTCCGGCCAAGCGGCACATTTCAAGGAAAGAATGCAAAAAAAAAAAAATCACGGAAAGAAAGTTGCAAACAAAGCAGGACAGCAGCAAAGAAAGGAAGCTTAAAAGAAGAAGAAGAAAAAAGGAAATAAAAGAAAAAGGTAGGAATAAAGAAAGTACAGAAAAATAAAGCAGAAAAGGAAGAAAATTGGACAGAAAGGAAGGAAGGAATTAAGAAAGTGGGGAAGAACAAAGCGGAAAAGGAAGAAAATGGGAGAGAAAGGAAGCCAGTTGGAATAAATGGAAGGAAGTGAAAAGAAAGAAAGAAAGAAAAAAAGAAAGCGGAAAAGGAAGAAAATAGGACAGAAAGGAAGCCAGTTGGAATAAATGGAAGAAAGTGAAATAAAAAAGAAAGAGGCAAACAAAGGAAGCGTGAAAGGAAGAATCATAAAAGGAAGAAACTGTGAAAGACAGGAAGAAAGTTGGAAAGAAGAAAGGAAGGAATTAAGAAAGTGAATTAAGAAAGTGGGGAAGAACAAAGCGGAAAAGGAAGAAATTGGGACAGAAAGGAAGCCAGTTGGAATAAATGGAAGGAAGTGAAAAGGAAGAAAGAAAGAAAGAAAGAAAGAAAGAAAGAAAGAAAGAAAGAAAAAAAGAAAGCGGAAAAGGAAGAAAATAGGACAGAAAGGAAGCCAGTTGGAATAAATGGAAGGAAGTGAAAAGAAAGAATAGAAGAAAGAAAGAAAGAAAGAAAAAAGAAAGCGGAAAAGGAAGAAAATGGGACAAAAAAAGGAAAGAATGGAAGGAAGCGAAAAGACAAAAAAGAAAGAAAGAAAGGAGGCAAGATAATAGGACATTAGCAAGAAAAAAGCAAGGAAGCGGGAAAAGCAAAGACAGAAGGAGAATGAAGGAAGGACAGCTGGTCAGAGTGTCAGAGCGCTCCATCACACTAATGAAGCAGCAGAGGCCTGGACTGAGGAAACCAGAGCGGGAACCACAGGAAATGAGATTCAACAAGCTCTCTCTTCCACTGCTAGCGGCTCCCTTCCTTAGCCCGCTCAACTCATGGCCAGTTACTTTCCCTTGTCCTTGTAAGGACGTGAAGCATGCACTGTTAACAAGCACATACACACACAGAGAAAGGAACGTTTACGCTAACAGACTTACAAACGTACAAAGACAGACTATGTAAACATTGATACTGGAGTCACACAGTTGAAAGATTTCGTCTCGAGTCTGCGGTTATACGATCAAAGAGTTGAAAAGCTCTCTTATTAAGAGTTTCCTCTGGCCAAAAAGCATTCTGGGGTTGCACAAGGCGATGATTTAACCGTGCCACTCCACATCTGAGTTCAGGTTTCTAGCTTTCAGCACTGGTGGAGTAATCTGGTTGAGTGAAAGCTCATACTGAATTAGATCATGACTCGAGCCACACATCAGTGAGGCGCCATGGTCTATAAACATATCTGAGCAAGCAGGCTAGTGAAGTGGGCCAAATTGAGGTATGTTACAGGAAATGTAACTAAAACAGGGCAAATAATACCGCTGGACATCTAAAAGGTAGTTTCTGATTCAAACCGCACATCAAAAAGGATGTTGTATATTTTTAGACAGTGCGGCTAAAAATAAGAAGTTAAAATACAGGAAGCATTTTTAATAGTAACTGATTTTAGAAATGTGCTTCTGATTGGCTCGAGCTGCAGCAGCTTCAGTGTCTGTTTTAAAGCCACAGAGACAAACACAGCTGTAACCTGGCATTTAGTTTCTTCTACTATCATTTGCATCTCTGAGTCCTGTCCAGACTTCAAGAATGGAAAACAGCCACAAAAAGTGTCAGTTCCTCTTTGAGTCACAATTTGAGAGCAGACTCAGCCAACTTAAAATGGCATTCGCTACTAGAGAAGCACAGATGCAAAACTTGGGTGTGATACGGATATCCGATCTTCAAAACAACTTGAAACATAGGTGGTGTAACACAGTAATATACATTGCACACAAGATCCCTACAAAAAAAAAGAAAAAAAAAAGTAAATTTGCAAGAGTACAGAACTTCATACAGAAAGTCAAAGAACTTTTTCTTTTTTTTTACTTTTAACAAAAATTTACTCAATATTTAGTCAAATTATTTCAATTTAGTACATTTATTATTGTACATTGTAAAAACATTTTAGTTGACAATAATATGCGAAATACTAAAAACACGTCAGTACAAACTTCATTTGAAAAATGACATTTATTGATATTCAAAAACACGTATTAATAGCCTTGTCCAACTGTTGAGCTTTAAAGTTGACATAAAGTAAAAACGGTCAATTTTGATTTCAATACATATTTGTGTTCTAAATTATTATGAATTGAATAATAAATTACATTTTTAAAAGTCAAATGTCAATAAATTTTATTTTTCAAATTTGTTTGGTCGGACATTTTGTTTAATATTGATTTATAATTTTGCACATTAAAGATTTACCAACATAACTGAAACAGAAAAATCTCCTGTGTGAATTTGTCATGGCTTGAGATTTGAGGAAACCTTTTTCTTGCTGTTTTATTATTGTAATAATATTTTTTTAAAGTCTTTGTATTTCTTGACTAAATTAAAAAAACTCTGCATCAAAAAACATTTTCATCAGTTATTTCAATTTCATTGATCAAATAAACAGTTCTGATTTGATCAACCTAGAATTTATCAGAACATTAAAAAAATGTGAGTTTGCCAAAACAATGTCTAGACTGTACTTTACTGTAGCGTTTTGGGAATTGCTTAACATTATTTTCCCTTCAGTTGATCAGGAAGATAATTTCAAAAGTGGAATAATTTTTTAAACATAGGATACTAATAAATCATAGTAAGTAAAGTAAAATGTCTATTTTAATTTCACGCTGACTTTAAAGCTAAACAAATAAAACCAACAATTTCAAAATGAACTTAAACAGAGGCTTCAGGCATAATGGCCAAAATATAAGGACATTTCCATAGAAAACATCTAGATCAGTTAAGACGGACATTAAACAAAGTTCAGTTTGTTGACTGACATGCTGTAATGCGAAGCATAGCCTAAACTACACCCATGTATGTCTGCAATTTCCTGTCTCCTCCCACAAAAGCGTAGGGTCGTGACATCTGAAGCCATGCTAAAACTCTTCATGGCCCTTAAAAAAAAAAAAGAATCACACAGCCCCTCTTCTTCATAGCAGTGGAATCATTTTATTAGGCAATCCTCAACAGGCTAAAGCAAAAGGCAAATCCCTTAGCTGGAGTTTTTCTATTTCTGGAAAAGGAAAACGCTTTGAGATGGGCAAGAAGAGAGAGAGGGAGAAAATGAGAGAGAGAGAGAGAGAGAGAGAGAGAGAGAGAGAGAGAGAGAGAGAGAGAGAGAGAGAGAGAGAGAGAGAGAGAGAGAGAGAGAGAGAGAGAGAGAGAGAGAAGAGAGAGAAAGAGAGAAAGAGAGAGAGAGAGAGAGAGAGAGAGAGAGAGAGAGAGAGAGAGAGAGAGAGAGAGAGAGAGAGAGAGAGAGAGAGAGAGAGAGAGAGAGAGAGAGAGAGAGAGAGAGAAGCGACACAGAGAGGACTGGTATGGCTCAAGTCAGCATGCTTTGCTTGGTGAGCTCATCGTATGGAAACTATTCGTCCTAACCATTTAGTTTTAGCCCAGACCATTCTCTCCTCCCCCTCTTATGAGTCACAAATTAGACAGACTCCTACTCACACAGGTTTGTAAAAGATCAGCTGATGTTTAGAGTAGGGAATCGACATATAGCAGACAACGAGAGCGCTAACATATGAAGGGTTTCTCTAATTAAAAAAATAATAATAATTGCAACCGGAGTTGGCATTTTCCCCTGCTGGCTGTTTTTCAAGCCAGTAAGTCAAACATCTCCTTAGTCACAACTTCAGCCATGTGAAGAGCACAGGAAATGCCTAGATTGTGATCTACATCGGACATGACGCTACGCCTCCCAAAATGGTTCATCTAAACTAGCCGCTGCCTGCAATCTGCTGATTTTGTGCTGAATCAGCCCCGGCGAACCATTAGTCTCCGAACAGTTCCTGTCAGGTAATAACTCTTGTGGCTGGCAGCAAGAGATGCAGGTCCAATCAAATTCCTTACAAGATCCACCTGAAAATTTTTTTCTCTCTCTTTCGTGCTTCTCAGCTGTTCTGGGATGTATTAGTGAAGGAAGGAAGGCCAAGGCTGTTTTGTGAGAGGGAGCTTGGCAGAGTTGGAGGTATTTGAAGAGGGTGCATGGATCAACTCTGTGTATGCTTTGCACCATATAGGGATAGAAGTGAAATTCTGGTCTTCAACACGTGTGGAATGTTTTTCATTTAGTTTCAGGGTTTCTACAGGTTTCACAAAGTCAAATTTAAGACTTTTTAAGACCATTATGAATTAAATTTAAGACCTATATCACGACATAAAAAAAAAAAACGTACAAAGGAAACGCAGAGTCTCAAAATGACTTGCAAAGTAAATTAATTTATTCAAACTGAACAGTACTGAAGACAACTTAGATGGATGCACAAAGCTGATTGGCTGTTGCATGTTGGTCTATTTTGTAGTCGTAATTAAAGTGAATTATATTTGGACGAGCGAAATAAGGAACTATAACACCACGCAATAAAAAAACCAAAACACTCCAAAGCGCTGCGGGAGGACGTAGGAAAATTAAGACCTGTTTAAAATTATTTAAGACCTAGAACACAATACTTCAGCAAATTTAAGACTTTTTAAGGCCTTAAATTGTGATTTTGAAATTTTAGACTTTTTTAGACTTTTTAAGACCCCGCGGAAACCCTGAGTTTATAAGACATAGACAGGATATTTTAGGTGGTATTTCTTTAAACCTAGGCTAACCATGATGAGTTTACCACAAAAGGCATGCACAATATTAACATTCTATAACCATGATTTAATGATATGCTCCATAACTGATGACTAATATTAATTAAAAATAATATCATGACTAGTTGTCAAAAGTACCGAATTCGGTACTGAAATTGAAAAAAGTGAAGATACCAGCATTTCCCTCTAGCATTTTGAGCGCTGTTGAACGGATTCTTAAACACCTCTGATCGGCCATTGTGTTCACGCGCTCAACATATATGTCTGTAATTGGCCACAATGATCAACGCTCCAAAAACATATGGTGTCTTTGACGCTCTTCATCGAGCGCTTACGTAGATCCACACGGGAGAGCGCTTAAAAGCGGCGTCTATCAGCGCACGCTTTTAAACGCTCCCGTGTGTATCTATGTAAGTGCTCGGTGAAGAGCGTCAAAGACAGACATCATGTTCAGACATCACGACAGACATATATGTTGAGCGCGTGAACACAATGGCCAATCAGGGGTGTTTAAGAATCCGCTCAACAGAGCTCAAAATGCTAGAGGGAAATGCTGGTATCGTCACATTTTTTAATTTCAGTACCGACTTGGTACCAAAGTCGGTGACTTTGACAACTCTAATGGCGCTTTTCCATTACCAGTACCAGCTCGACTCGACTCGCTTTTCGCTCCGTTTTCCATTGCAGACAGTACCGCCACAAATAGTACCCCGTCGTCATAGAGACGCCTTTCATTCCTCGTTGCCTCATCAAGCTCTTGCTGGATCATCTCTTCGCCAACCAAACAAAGGAATGTCTGCACCTCCTCGTTTGACCACGGCGTATTCTTCCGAGTTGCCATAATAATAGTAGTAAGTTTAGTAACCATCTCTGGCCAAACTATTTAAAAATGGTGGGGTTATTCTGGATACTCCATCTGGCACGTGACGCAGTGAATAGTGACGATTCTCTCTGACCAATCAGCAGTCGGCATTGTTTTCACGTCACATTTTAGTATCGCCTCAGCTCGCTCAGAACCTCGCCGGAGGTGATACAAAAAAAAAAAAAAAAGAGTACCCGAAAGCAGGTACAGGTACAACTTTTACACAGTGGAGAACCAAACAAAGGCGAGCCGAGTCGAGTCGAGCTGGTACTGTGTAGTGGAAAAGCGCCATAATTATAACTAATAATAACAAAAAATACAAAATGAAATCAATTTTTTTAAATGCTACAAGTGAACAAGAGTAATATACTAATACCGAATCTCCTTAATGCTTCAAAACCATCTGATTGAAATATAAGCTGTGTACGCCACGACAGGCCAAATAACTGAATGAAATCCACAACAGATGAAAAGTGATAAAATCTACCCGCATCGTCTTTCTGAGCCACTGCACCCAGGGATTAAAAAAAGACAGATAAAAGTGTAAGGGGTGAACTAAGGGACAAGCCTTGACAGAAGATCCTTCTCCATGTGTGCACAAACAGGACATTTTCTTTACAATACAATCCAAGTTTCGCAAAGTTTTTAGAGGGCGTGGCCTCCAAGTATCCTCCCCTACCCGTTTGAATGAGAAATTAAGGTAATAACAGCTAAACCAAGAGTGTACAAAAACACAAATAAGCGGTCTCTACTACAACCACACTGGAATCTACCTAATAACAGCTCTGACTAAATTCATACTCACCCCTGGTTTAGGTCATTTTCTGTGTTGTCCAACCAGAGGCGGACAGCTACCGCATTGCCTTCACGGCACTGAGTGAAGATGTCATCCATCTCGGCAGCCTCTCTCCTCTCACGCTACCGGAATCGTTCGTCCCCTACCAGGAGTGTCCTGGGAGAGGCGTCTGATGCAGCTGTACCCTGAAGACGACAGGTGAGGGCTGACAGAACATCCAGCCAGGGGAAGGGTGTGTTGGGACAGTCTCTTCACTGTCTCAGGGCAAGTGTCTGCGCTGCACTGCAGAGAAACAAGAAGGAAGCTCAGATGAGCTGTCCTGAACACAGCTTGCTCAGAACAAACACACTGTCACAGTCCAAGTAACTAGGGAACAATGACTAAAAACGAAAAAATGACAAGTAGCCAGCCAAAAACAAAAGGGTGAGGCCCAATGACATGATGCTCAGTCTTGTTTATTATTTTTTTCCAAATAAATACATGCAATTCATACACATGACTTGAAGGCACAGTTACTATGTTTTTTGGAGGGGGAATAAAGTCAACATATTGATCCTGATATTATAATGAAGAAAAAAATTATAACAAAATTATTATTGAAAAGATGATTCTCTTTCCTTTACCATGGACACTCTTATATGTCAATAGCTATGTTTCCATCCAAATTGCGAATTCAACTTATCCACAAAATTGGTAGCCTGGCTGCCAGCCGAACTTAGCCCCGTCCACAACATTTGAGGATGGGAAGTTCGGTCTGGAGACTCTGGACTTGATCCGTTGTGACGCAAGTATGCCCGAACCAAACCTTTTCGGACCAATCAAATTGTCAGGGCGGGCTTTTTATACGATAATGGACAGATGATCAACCGCAACGTAATCATCCACGTCACCAAAGAGGGTGGGTCACGCTTGGGTTCAATTAGTTTACAACAAAGAATGGCTGCCAGTGGAGAGAATTTAGATGTGTAGATTCAGCCATCACGTTTGTTATTGAAGCATTTTAAAAGAGGAACAGAGAACCACGATCAAGGCATTTGTCGATCCAATTGAGTCCAGAGGCATTTTCTTTCCTGGTTCGGTTTAACACGCCCCATAATCACAGCCCAAAGGAGCAGTATCAGACTCACATTATGACTAGAATCTGAATAAAGCAACGTTTCCATCCCATGTGTTCAAGAGAACAAAATCGGAAGTTACTGCAATCGGGGAAGCCACTGTGGCTCTTTTTTCCTACATCATAACGCATCATACATCATTTTCATACATCGAAATGCAATACACGCTGTCATGTTATCTTGTGTTCGGATGCCTGATATTTGTGAATGCAATCATGACCAAATCATTGTGATGACAGACCTTGGCTCAGGCATTTCAGAATGACCAAACCAACATTTGAGTTGTAGTGCAATGAAATTGGCCCTGTTATCCAATCAATCACATTCTCAGATGAGGCAAACATCACATGTTTTTGTTGCACATTGAAGGATTTATTCTGTAAATGTGTTTCCATCGTAGTTTATGCTCATGTTTCTTGTGGGATAAAAAAAAATTATCCGTCTCAATTGAGTGCATGTTTTTTGCGCATACAAATAGGTGCATGCAAAACATAGCTAATGATCCTTATTCTTCAAAATATTTTATTTTATGTTCCACAAAAGAAAGAATGTACATTGAATATGCAAGTCACACAGGTTTAGAATGACACGAGGGTGAATAAACAACAGTATTTTTATTTTTAGATGAGCTATTCCTTTAATTCACCACAGATTTAAGCAATGGGTTCAAAAAATTGTTCATTAAGTGGTGATAGCCAAGGTGATGAATACCCATGTAACCATGCAGGTCTCGGCTTGTTATAACATACATAACACTCCCTTACTGAGTCCAAAACATCCCTCTGCCAACATAATGTGTTTCTTTAATACTCTGACATCACTCGAACTCATACTTTAGTTAAACAGGTCTTCGGAAAGACCCGTCATACTCGTGAAAAGCTACTTCTGTGTCTTGTGTTTCTGTTTAATTAGAGAATTTAAGTTCATGTCACATTTATTAAAAACAAAAAGGAAACTGCGTCAAATACATTTAAGAAGCTATTTCTCATATAAACCATCATGCACTGTATACTTTGCTGAGAATGTTTGAGTTGGGAAACTGGAGAGACTGTATTCACTTACAGAAAAAGACAGACAAATTAGATAAAAGCAGGCTGATATTGATTCAGTTAAATATTAATTCAATCACAAAGACACTAAAAGGTAAACATGATAGTTAAGACTCATAGAAAGAGGAGTAGAATTTGACGGACATACATAGGCCTACAGGTCTATATTCAAAAATATAGTTTAATGTTCTAACAGATGACAGGTAGATGTCAGACAGGTTTTGTTTAAACTGACATATAACAAAATAGAAGAAAAACAGACAAAATCAGAGACAGACCGGTATGCATGGGGACAAATTAAAAGTTTCAAACAGGCAGGCAGACAGTTAGAATGATAGACAGATATGTTTATGAGTGAACAGACAGACAGTTATGTTCAGACAGAGAGGCATGTAAGTGTTAGTGTTCTAACAGAATGGGACACACATATACATACTGACAGATAGATACAGGTCAGATCTATAGATGTGTTCAAACAGAAACAGATGGGTATTTGTTCAAGAAGACAGAGAGAAAGATAGATAGCAAGATAGATAAGATAGTAGTTGTAGCAGACAGATAGACAGTCAGGCGGTTAGACAGACAGACAGAAAGGTAACGTTAACGTTACGCGTGTTCTCGCAATAAAACTGACATTAGCCGCGTAGCTAACAGACACTCCATTCAAAGAGAGTCTAAAGACTCCTAGTTATGGGTGAACCAAAAGAAGAAGAAAAAAAACACAATATGAATTATAATGTACTTAATCATGCACAATTTATTTATTTTCACTCTACGCTTTATTTATGGCTATTCAGTAACGTTAGTAGTTTTGTCTTGCAGTGAGCTAGTACGCTAATTGTGCTAGCAGTCATATAACGTTACGCCCACAGTCACTGAACTTCACGATCAACACACGATTCATGCTTCCTTCACACTCAATCGATCATAACAACCACCATTACCTGTTTATGTGGCCGCTTTCAGCTGGAGTGGACCAACGGTAATGACTGGGACAGTCTGGACCGACACTCTTCCAGCGCCCACACCCTACTAGAGCCCGAGTCTGTGATCTCCTCCCCACCGACAGTCACTCACTCATTCCCCGCAGAACACGTTACTGCAGCGCCCCCGGCTGGAGAATGAGAAAAACATGCGCCTCGGGACACGGTTTTCAGAACTGTGCTTGAGATATGATTAATATTCATTTATACACGAATTTACCAAACATCAGCCCAAACTGAGAAAATTTGCATGGTCCGTTCTGTTACATCAGAGGCGAATAAAATTATACACACGCAGAAACGTACTATGGCAGATGACGACCATAAAGCCTGCTAAAATAAGTTACCTGTTCTACAATAAAATAGTTATTTTGTATCGTATCAATTAATAATTTAAATAAATAATCAAACCATCCCAGATTTTGAAAAAAAAAATGGCAATTTAAATCAGGGCTATTATTGTTAACCAAAACTAAAAACATAACTTAAATAAAAAAATTTTTTTTATTAAACTTAAATTTTTCTAATTTTTTTTCCAAAGCAACCTTATTTATTTTTCATTTAGTTTAACTCTACGAACTAAAATAACTCAAACTAAAATAAAATGAATAAAAAACTGTTTAAATATTTGAAAAAACTAACAAAAGACAACACTAAAAAATTACTAAAACTTAAACAAAAATTAAAATGAAAACAGTAAATGTATTTAATATACCGTACAATTTTTACGCTGGTTGTGTGGTTCTCTAAAATGCTTCTAATTACAATTTTATGATTAAATTACTTAAAAAATATAATAATTTAAAATGGTTTCAAATAAAAAGAATACTACAATTCTAATTCACTGAAAGAATCATCAGTGATCACTATCAGCATGATTTTAGTGGTGTAATGATAAAGTAAAATTCTCATTACAATCTTATTTATATGTGCAAATAAAAACAGGCTATATAATTTCCATTTAATTATTTGATGAAATATGCCTTGGACTGAAATCATTTGGGGAATTATTATTATTATTTTTTTTTAATCAGCGTGGACCTACTTAATAATAATGAGAAAAAATATATACCAAATACAGATTTAATAAAAAAATAATGGCAAAATAACTATCTTTAGTTTCCACATGATGCATTTTATTAAAAGAGAGAGTTCACATGTTAGCCGGCAGAGCAACATTATTCAACGTTGTAATAGAGGTATTTAAATACTTATGAAGCCCATTCCACTGAAAATGATCAACAGTCTTAAAAGGCTTCTGTAACTTCTGGCTGTTAAGACTGAATATGCAGCATAAACAACATCTCCTAGACATATCATCTCTGCCATGTCCTTGTTCTGCACATCGCCATCAAGATGGAGTTCGGGGGGTCTGTCCCGCTCCCCCTGCAGACCGCGTTTCAGGGACTGATGTGGATGTTACACTGCTGGCCTTCAGATTGAGTGCATCCACTGCACTTGAGATGGGACCTACACCTACTTTAGGTACACTAGAAGATGTTGAGATCACTGCTGATGGTACTACTAGTCCCTCTGACTGCATTTCCCCAAAAGCCGAGCCATTTGTCGATGATGATGTCTCAATATCTGATGGATTGTTGGGAGATGAAGGTATTTTCGGGCTTTCAAGCATTGGTGTTGTGGTTGAGGGCATCCCCACCACTGGAGAGGATGTCGCTGGGATCTCCAGGGTTGATGGAGACTCTGTTGATGTGTCTGTGATGGCAGTAGATGGGTTTTCTAATGCCGCTGCAGCTTCAGCTTTATCTAGTTCTGCAGCTTTGCTCTCCATCTCCTGTATCCGCTTCTGCACCATCACAGGCATCAGCTGCACATACGTGCCCATTAAACGGTGATTGGTCCTTATTAACTTACTAGCACAACTGTCCACACAACGCTCCTGATAAAAATAAAAACAAGGGAAAAAGCAGCATTATATGAATGTCATAGTGAATTTATGTATAATGACAGAAGTGACTCAATGTGCACTACATTAAGCACAATAGGTTTTTTAAGGCCCGTTCACACCAAAAACAATTACTAAAGATAACTATATTAGCGTCCACACCAGCGGATCATTCTGTTTATTCTAAGCGGCGGCGCGTGTTTGTCTGTCACTTTAAATGCTGGAGCTCATTATAGCAGGAAGGATTCTGATTGGCTGTCAATGTTTTTATTGTTCATCAGCAGGATAAAATCATTGTGAAAGTAATTCCAATGATATAATTTCTCTGTGCCGTTATCGTTATAACTGTGGTGTGAACTCTGCCATTCTTTAATATTGAGAACGATTTTTTACTATATCTTTATTGTTATCTTAATAGTTGTTGTCTTTGGTGAATGGGCCTTTATTCTATTGGCAGTTCAAGCCGAACTCCCCTCAATACAAATTCATTAATTTACATTTACAGAATGGAAATAAAAGAAATGCAAAGACTCTTCTTTATTTCTTCATGAATTTGTCACATGACTTTATGTTTCGAATACTTGCAAATGATTGCAAATTAAAATATATTTTAAACTCTGAAATCATTTTAATTTAACACGCTTAAAAGAAATGCAGAAATTGTATGCACCTCTATGTCAAAATATTTCATATTTTAGTGCTGTCCTGATTTGCATTTTTTCTCATGAGTCTATTTTATTTCAAATCTTGCTCCTTTTTGTTTTGTGCCTGATGATGTTAGTATGTGTAATGAATACTATGTATTCATTACACTATTACTAACTAATACGTCTTTTGATGTAAATGTTAAAGGCAGAACATTAATGAATGAAAAATATCTCACATATCTGGGACACATCAATTAAGGTATTTTTTAAAAGCTTTCTTTGTATTAAAACCCTAAGTACACTTATTATAAATCATATTTGCCTCACCTCATCCATTGTCAGATTTCTGTAGTTGAAATTGCTTGTGCATCGCTGGAAGCAGATTTCCGTCATGCGATTATAAACGAGGAGGAAGTCCCGCAACTAGATCACAAAAACAGAACAATAAATATCACAAACATATTAAAATACAAAAAATAAACATATACATATATACATCTACTAAACAATACAGAAAAACATTGTCACATTCACACGGACTTCCATACTTACATTTCGTAGCTGACCGTCGTGGTCCATGACAATATTGTTGGCCGTATATATCAAGTGAAACGTCTATATAAGTGCAAATATATTACAACTGAAAATGATTAAAATAAGAAACGACGTAGAAGACGTAGACAGTAGAAGAGCGATCGCATGACTTTCAGCAGCGCGCGGCCATGTTTTTAATCACGTGACTACAGGAGCGTTACGTCACTGCGGCGGAAGTTTGCAAGAGGTCTACTGAAGTGAGTTTGTGCTGTTGCATTTTTCCTGTCTTTCATGTCGGTATGTGAAATGAGCAAAAGGAAGACTTTTTTAATTCTTTCTTTTTTATTTACAAGTAGCTAGATAGTGTAAGAAAAAACTTTCAATAATCTATCTATCATTTTTGTTGTTGTCATTTGAGTCAACAAAGTGAGACATTTTCATGGTAATTGTGTGGTAAACGTTATGGCATTTTATGGAAATTTTTTTTACATCTTCAGACTTTCTTCAAAGCTTTCAAAAAAAAAAAAAAGTCACTCATATAAAAAAGACTTTTATTTGTTGTCTTGAAAATCTAAAAGATAGCAAGAAACAAGCTGATTAAATATTTGTTAACATATTCCTCTTAGTTTATGTAGAACAACATAACAGACCAAAACTGTAAGCCTTTAAAGGCAAGAAACAAGAAAGCACATTTCAAGTGGTAAACTTATTTAAATGTGTCTCGATTGGACGTAATCTCAGAGCGGATAGCTGGTCTCCTCTGCATGCTTTTGCACTGAGAAAAAATTATAATTTGGAGTTTGAACCATGTGCTTCAATTGTTGACAGCACCACCCCACAGTTTCCTGTGTTTAATCTCTTAAGATGCTAAAGGCTTCTTTTAACTCTAACAATGTTAACTGTCCTGTTTTAGACTTTGTCTTGATCTACCGAGGGAGTGATCAAAGCCTTCGTGCAAATTTCTGTGCATCTCAAACTCCCTCTCTGCATTTTCATTTCTTTCCATTTCCATCATTTTTTCTCTCTCCCTCTCTTCTGCCTCCAGGGCTACTTGATGACTGTTGAGGTAGATACTGTGACGTGAAACCATGAGGCTGCTGCTCCGGGACGGGAGGGTGACATCAGCCTCGTTATCATGGTCCATGTAATTCTGCTGGGATGCGGGTTGAGGATGCGTCTGGGCTTGGTGAGCCTGAGCCTGTTTTTGATATTTTCTCTTTTTCTTACGCTTCTTATTGACAGTCAGATCAAGAGAGGCGTAGGACACATCCCCCTGCTGGACCTGTGAGATAATAACAAACCTAAGCTGTATTTTCATGATCTAACACATTCAATGCAGTGGAAAAATAAATAACTTACTGTACCTTGCCTCATTTTGGCATTCAGGTTAAATTGCAACATAACAAAGGCCATCAAAAGAGTTTTGCAATAAGTTACGCAATAGGGTTAAATAGCTTTCTCTAAGTCTCAGATTGTAAACCTGCGCTATGAATTCTTGCATCTCTGATTTTAGTGTTGAAATAGTGCAAAAAAGTTTTAAAGTCAGCATGAAACGGAAGTTCAAATCATCTTTTCTTCCAAATTGTGATGTATATCCTAGTGAAAAAAAAATGAGGGCAGAACTTGATTTTGTCCTTAGAGTGCAACAGTGCCCGTGCACTTTTTCAGCAGCGTCAGTTTTTGTAAGTATTTTTTCCATTCATTTCTCCCATAGGGATTTAAAGTCTTTGTTAAAGCGTTATAACCCATGAACCAAGCCAATCAGCTACAAGGTGATTCATAACATTACAAACTTTGATTTGATTTTTTAAAATCAGACAAAAATACAAAGGTGCAAGACATAAACAATCCCATGAAGCATTGCGAACAGCATAATCGAATAAAAAAAATAATGGAATAATATAAAGCTACTCATTTTAAAATGTTGATTTTATATATATAAATTTAACAATAAAATTTTTATATATAAAGTTAATTGCAAAATATGCATATATATTCAAATATTTTACTATTTTGAGACTAGGGAGATTAATTACATCAATTACATCATTTGTGGTGCTTCATGGGAGTATAGGCGGAGCTAAAGAGCTTTTTGGCACTTTTGCTTTTAGCGACTCTCTGATTGGTGGAATTGTTGTGAGTAATGTTGTTTTTTTCACCACGAATTCCACTGTTAAACACAATTATTTTAAAACTAAGTTGAATTAATGCGGGCTAACATCTTGAACAAAGGCAAATACTATCTATTAACAACCCGGCAGCTCACAGTAGGGTTGTCTTTAAAGGTTTAAAGGTTAAAAAAGGTTTAAAAATCTGTTTCCCTATGGAGAAAATGTTTTTACTTCCGGAACCCGACTGTTGCACTGTATTGGGAATTGATTGGATTGCAATTAAAAAATATGAATTGTCAATTTTGATTTCATAGTGAATTTAACTTGACAAAAATGTCGCAATATCTCGCAGAAGTACCTTTATTGCTGCTCAAACCCGAGCGTTTAGCTAGCGAGCTATTAATGTGGCATAACAATGATTCCTTTGACATGCATACTGCTGAAGAGTGGTCTGAGAACTCTGACCACAGCTGCGTTCATTAAAAGACCTGCTTCTACACACGTCTCTGTTTTCAGTAAAATGTGTGGGAGGGCGAGCTTAAAATAGTTATCAGGGGTACATTCTCACGCAGACTTTGTGAAGGTTTTGAAATTTAAAACATCAAGCCATTGAAGTGTTTATGAAAAATGTCACACAATCTGGTACTGGAAGTTCTGCTTTTTAATTTTGAGCATCTTTTTTCAGTGTTGAAAATACTTACAACACATGTAATACGTGACAGATATTACTTTAAACGGTATAATTTAATAGTTGCTGCATAAATCAAGACAGAGAACCCAAAAATAAATATTACAGTTACAATGCTATTAAGAGTTTAATGTGCGATTTGTTTCTGGTTGGCCATCTAATAACCAACCATAACTAACCAATAAACAAAAAAACTAGTAAATAGATGGATAAATACTGTAAAGTTAATATAAATAAATACATAAGTAAAAGTAAATATATAAAGGGCAGATTTTTGCAAATTTTTCATAAAAACACTGATGAAGCGTACATACGATCCATGTTTCTACGGTTAATGAGTGAACTCATTGTTTTTTAAATATATTTCACTCATACTAATGTACAGTAGTGGCCAAAAGTGATGTCCACGTGAAAATTGGCACCTTTATCGGTTTATCCAATATTATAAAAAATTAGTTTTATTAATAAAGTAGTTGTGCTTGGAGTCAATTGTTTTATTTGTGATAATGCTATGAAACATGCCATTGTGCGGACATCGGACAATTGTGCGGACATCATTTTTGATGTCCAGACCGTCATACAAAGAAATTATGAACATATGCAAAAACAAGAGAGAACCAATGAAATATTAATATGTTGTAGTCAATATGCTTTTTGTTTTTCTGTGCATTTTCATTGTGCATGTTTTACAGGTCTAATTTGTTTTATGCAAAATAAAACATGTAGCTGTAGTTTGCCTTTTTTCCAAATAAATTTGTCAGATAAATGCCTTAACCAGGTTTAGTGTTTTACCTCATATTTAATATATATATATATATATATATATATATATTATACTCATATATTGATGGATTAATTGAGCTTAGATTCATTAAAACAAATATCTCTTCTGGACATCACTTTTGGACACTATGTCTGCAATTTCCATGTAATTTGTTGGAAGACCATACCTTTAATCCCTGCTTTACTGTGCTTGCCTGTGCCATTTGTTCATAGCACACCTCCGGAGACATTTCGAAAGCTCCTGAACAAGCATTAAATACATAGCAATGTCATCATGACAGCTTAATTATTAATAGTAAATAGCAGACAGACATTGGATTACTTAAAGTGATTGGTGTATTTGTGAGCTAAACCTACCGCCTCCATCTATACAGATATTCCCATATATAGGATTTTCCTGTCTTTCCATTTCGTCATCTTCAAACCTGCAACACATAACCACAATGTATTTACATAGGTTTGTGGCTGTGGAAAAGGATTATTACATGTTAAATCAACTTTTTTTCTGCATGTCAATCAGAATACATAATTACATAAAATATGAATTTAATTCAAACAATGTGCTGATCATCACCTGTAAGACTGAAGTGAATCTCGACGTAATGGCTCTTCTCCATATTCAAACATGTTTTCATTAGCTGATTAAAAAAATATACAGTTTGTTACTGTGAACTAAAGTTGTTATACATTTCTTAAAATGCGTCTTTTTTATGTTTTGTAAATGTCAAACTATGAAGCATACCTGCTGAGTTTTTTTCCTTTCTTCTTAATAAATAGAATGCAACATTTATAGACACAGATATCAGCAGTGCAATAGATGTCAGACAAATAGCCACATATGCAGGTATGCATGGATCTACATGTAAAGAGAGAGTTAAATGACAGATCATGATTTGATATAATATTGCATTAAGTTCCCATTACACCTTATATAATATTTATATTACAAACTTTGATTATTTTGCCTTGCGTTTTATTTTTATAAATCTTTTTTCTTCTTTTTTCTTCTTCTTAAACCTTTCATTTATTTATTAGTTTCATATGTTAATATTTGTATAATATATCATATATATCATACATATCATCTTAAAGAGTATATAAGCACAAATCATTTGGTTAAGTTTCCGGACATGTCATAACACTGAATGAATTTCATGAATCTAACAATATAATTATTATCACTCATATAATTAATACACTTTTCTAGTGTGGATAGATTCATAAATTCGTATTATTAATAATTGTTTTGTGCACAGTATTATTCAAAAGAACGTTTAATATGTCAGGGTTTAATTTCAATTCATCAGTCTTCTAAGTTTTAAGAACAAAAAAACGATTTAGAACCATAAAGAAAACGTGCAAAAATACAAATAAAAAATTTAGTCTGTCATTATTCAATAATCTCTACTGAGACAACAAAACTGCTTTTATTTAAACACAGTGTGATGTGATGAAATACTGTTAGCAAAGAACGTTCACATACAGAAGTGATAAAGCATTTTTTCCTCTTACCTGGCATCCTGTTTTTTTAGGGTCAAATGTCCGATAAAGCCTTGTCTGATAAAACCTTTCACCTGTACGTGAGCATGTTCAACAAGAAGTGCACCAGAGTTGTGCTATTTTTATCGTCTTTAGACGTTTTCGGTTACAAACAGGAAACGTGACGGCTACCTTATTCGTTGCAAACATTCACATCTCAAGAGACACACTGTCTGCATTGTGTAGTGACATAAACCACTCACTGGTGTTGAAATGCACATTGAAAACATTTAATCCATATGGTTATCATTGTATTGGAAAACAAATTATGTGTGAAATGTTTTTTATGCTTTTCTTTGAATTTACTTTTGAAAGTTGAATGAAAATAATAATTTGTCAGTAATTTATACTCTAGTTAAAAAGTTTATTGCTCATACATTTCTAATCTTGCATTGATTTTTTTTGTGAGTAAAATTATGCTGTTATTTTAAAAATTAGGTGAAAATTAAGAATTCAAACAGGGATTCAAAACATTTAGTGGGCTGAATTCCCACCAATATTTAAATTAGTGGTTGATCAATATGGGATTTTCAATTGTTCAAATTTTTACTTTTGGACGCCCCTATCTTGAATATTTGGTTACATCCTTGAAATGAAATGAAAATGTAATCGTACAGCAATGTTATTCTAGTTTGTACAAATGAATGTGTAACAAATCTCTGCATTTACAAATTATAGTATACAACTAAAATATGATAAAATTTCAAAGACAAACTTATTATGAACATAAGTATTCTTATTCTGACAGTTTATTATAATATTCATAATATAAGATAAGATATTAGAGTGCTATTTTTCAAAAGAAGCGCTATATTAAACTTGACTCACACACTGTACTTTGACTCAAAGGTAAATTATTTTTTCACAAATAACTATTGTTTTTTCTCATACACCACATAATGAAGTGCAATAGTATATTGGATGCATGATTATACAGTGCAGGATACAGGTGATCTGAACACTGAAGCAATCAATCCTTTTTTTCTGAATTTTCCATTTCCGACCACAATAGCGAGAGCAGGAAACGTCCCTCTGCGTGAACGTGTTGCTTTTGTAGCAAAGAACCACAATGCACAAAACTCTGTACAAAAAGCATCTCTGTACTCTCTCTTTCTTGTTTTCTCTCTGTCTTAGCACACACACATACACTCTCTATCAGGCATATGTATCTGTTCATTAATCAGAAATGCCTTTTATTTCCATCTTATCCCAGAGTAAATAAAGGCTTGTTCTCAGGGGTAAACCGCATTTTAAAATGCCAAACGTTTTGCTGTTATTGCAAGTTATAATAAATGGTGACCAGAGTTGGCATTTGTTTTTGTAGATTTGGCCTGTAAGGTTAAGGATACATACTGTCTCTGTTGGTCACTGTCTGATGTGGTTTTGGCAGTTGGTTTTGCTTGACTATCTGAGGTGTATACTGTGGTTTTATGAGGCCTGAAATAATCAGTTGCTAGCCTTCGCTTTGTTAACAGAACATGCAGACACAACATAAGGGCAACATTAACATGTAGGCTTTAGGCCTAACGGTGTCTGATTCATAATAGCACTCACTTCTTCTCTTTTTTTTTTGCAGCTGTATTGTAATGGTATTAAAAGTCAACATTGCGATAACCACCTGATCTATTGAACATGATAGATAATTTTCTGATTAAACTCTAAAGTTTCCTATATGTACTCATCATATTTCAGATTTCAGGAATTTACCCAGTTTTTGACCCAACCTCCACCCATCCTCGCATGTTGTTTTCTTTAAAAAATTCACACATTTTAGGGATTTTCTTTTTACATTGCTGTAATGTAGGAGTAAAGCTAATTAAGTAAAACTCAAGATATTCAATAATATATTTAATGTTTGTTAAGCACAGTAAAAATTCAATCACAATTTTCAAATTTTTTAAAATGTACAAAAAAAGAACAAATAATTTTTTAGAGCAACAGATTATATGTACAACCTATTCAGAAAGACACAAATACAGAGAAAATGTGCAGTAAAATAAATCACATAAAAACACAACAAATGTGGGTGACTTCGTATTTTTACAAAATAAAAGGTTGAAGGGTTATTTCACGGAAAAATGAAAATTGAACGAGTTTCATTCATCTTCGGAAACACATATTTTTTAACATATTTAATGTATATGTGTGTTTATCAATGTTTATATGTAAACAAAAGCATAAACTAAATCGATTCATCATTTAAAGCAACCGTTTTTCTTCGGAAGACATGAATTAAACTGCTCAATTAATATGGATTACATTTTAGTAATCCATGGATTACATACATTTTGGTTGCATGGGTTTTCAATGAAGGAAAATAAATCTCTCAGGCATCATTAAAAATAGCTTAATTTGTGTTTTGAAGATGAACAGAACTTTTATGGGTTTGGAACGAGATGAGAATGAGTTATTGATGACAGAATTTTCATTTTGAGTGAAGATTTTCAGCAGAAATCTTCCAGTCAGTATAAATGTGGCCCACGGTTTGTGAGTACAAAAGTGCATGACGCATTCATACAAGAATATCAGTCAAGGGGACATCATGGTTCCTCACTGATGTGTATTTGACTGGTGGTGGAGGAGGTTTGAAAGGGGGTGGCATATCCATTCTGAAAAAAAAAAAAAATTTTTTTAGATAAATGGACTGAAAATGTGTTGGATGCAATTACGTAACAGAACAGTGGATGTGCTGATGATTTTGGTGAGTCTCACTTTTTTTGGTTCAGGTGTCTTTTGTATAGAAGCATAGTCAACACGAGCAACACCAACACAATCGGAACAGCGATATATGCTGTGCTTTTTGATTCTGAAAGAGAGACGAGAGATATGCAAGGAAAAGACAACCAATAATAGTTTTATGATTAGCTCAAGACTTGGCCTAAATTCATATCCTGTTGATACTGTCATGTGCACGTCTTTTTGAAAACAACACATTGATATCAATCATCACCCACTTTAAATCAAACAGCATCTTATATGGGTTTCCCTGTTACAGCCAACAAACATCAGATGACTTCATTGTGTGTATTCAATTTGTTTAAAATCAACATAAAACAGTAGCGACCAATTTGTATTCCTTGATATGAGTCATGAAAGTTTAATTCATAGTTTTAATTGATAATTTAATTCAGAGAATATTCCAGTTATAGCCTAATACATGACCGATGACTTGATTTTAATAAAATATAAACACTTTTGTAGCATATGACATTAGTAGTAATGTGATGTATTTCCAAGTGAATTAAAAATTTTTTTTTTATTTAATCCATAGGATGATTGCCGGATGCATTACCATTGTTGTGCCTAATTTTGACTTCCGGTAATAGACTAATTTCATTGAAGGTGCTACCTGATTGCCTAATCCTAACCCACCTATTCCTAAATCTACCTATACTGGGGATTTAGAGGGTAATAATCCGAATCAGAATTCGGTCTTGTACAGAAATCTTAATCCATGTGAAATTTTGTCTCCCCTCCTTCTTATTGGTCCATTTGTTGGGGAGGCTGGTACCTGAGTGGTCCCTATCTTTTAAAAGCCACCCCCCACACGGCCACACATACCTAATTCTTAATCTTACCCTCATAGGAAGATGCAGGGGAGATAATCTCACAGGGAGTCACATTTTGATACCACACCTGTTCATGAAAAGTGGGCGCTCTGTTCCAGAATGGACTCGAGTCTGAATGCCAAATTGATGCGGTTGATTGTGGAGGCCGGTTTGACCGGGATGGGGATCCTGAAGATCAAGTTCTCCAGAGAGCAGCTCGATGTGGTAAAGCTTATTTAAATCGTTTGTTATTTTGCTATTATTGCTATAAAACATTTAAAGCTCCAGTAGGGAGTTTTGAGAAAACGTTGACTTAGCCTGAAAATTTGAACAAGCACAACTTACAGGTCCCACCCCCTTGCTCTCTGCTGCGCTACAGCCCTCCCTCCACAGCTCGTCCTCCACAGCGGAGCCTGCCGTGAACGCGCAGGCTAGTAAACAGGGCCACCGATAACAGCGGATAAAAAGTTATATGGCATATTCACTAATAAGGACTAAACGTCAATAATATGCTTTACATTGACTATGGCCTGCCCATACTTTGACTACAAACTTGGTCCTCAAATCATTATGTATTTTGCAATAGCCTACATGTAACTTTATAACGTTGCACTCTTTCTATAAGTTATAAATAGCTAGTAAGATAACGTTAATATAACGGTAACTAGCGTTACAGTATGTAAGTAATTATTCTAGCGATATATAATGCTAGATAAGGTGTGCTTGTACATTATTTCAGCAACATGACAAGCCAGTGAATTAGCAGGTTTCAATTGTTGCTTAGCAGAGTGCGTGACATTTTATCTACATGTTATGCGGCTAGAGTTTTGACACCGAGTCAATGGGCTCTGTGTAATTCTTTCTTTTTCGCTTGTTTATCGTCATCAGTCTTTTTCCTTTTACCTCTTTGTTTTATGAGCAGGTGTCACTCGAGAATTGGCAGTTTAGGTTGTTTCTCCGTCATAAGCACAGCTGCAGCACACCGGCAATCTTGAGTTTGAACGACGGTACGCGCTCCGGCGGCGCTCGCGCTGTGCAAGAGAGGGGTGTGATCAGCGCGTACACGAGCGTGACTGACACTGCTAAGACACTCCTCCTGGCTCTGATTGGTTGTTTCTGACCGGGAGCGTGTATTTCTTGCAAATGGCAATAGGACCACTAGGAGGAGCCAGAGGAGCTTGATTTTTACACAGATTATCTGTCTCATATTCTACTGTCAGGACATAATGACAGTTTTAGCAAATACATTTTTTCAAAAGTTACCTACAGCAGCTTTAAATGAACGCTAACAGGTTTTAATACTTTTAGAATGATGCAGTTAACTGTAACAAACATTTCAATTGAAAACAATAGTAGAGATGGGGGGGGGGAGCTTTTCGAAACTCTGAATCATTTGAACCAATATCTTTGCAAATTGATGCACTCTTTCGAAGCGCTCTACTAAATGCAACTACAAAAATGCTAAAATACCATTAAATATGTGGGTTCTGTAAAATGTGTGTTCTTTTATCAAAGTGTAATGCTTATTGTGTGTTTGGCAGAGCTTGGCAGATTAGGTAAATGTTTTCCTTTTTATATTATACACTCAAGTACTAAAATTCATTATATTAATTAAAAATAAATATACATTTATAAAATGTACCCAAGTTACGCAGCATGCTTGAGCTTCCGCAAGAACCAATGAGGTTCATTCTTGTGTTACGCAGCACGTTTGAGCTTCCGCAAGAACCAATGAGGTTCATTCTTGTGTTACGCAGCACGTTTGAGCTTCCGCAAGAACCAATGAGGTTCATTCTTGTGTTACGCAGCACGTTTGAGCTTCAGCAAGAACCAATGAGGTTCATTCTTGTGTTACGCAGCACGTTTGAGCTTCCGCAAGAACCAGTGAGGTTCATTCTTGTGTTACGCAGCACGTTTGAGCTTCAGCAAGAACCAATGAGGTTCATTCTTGTGTTACGCAGCACGTTTGAGCTTCCGCAAGAACCAGTGAGGTTCATTCTTGTGTTACGTAGCACGTTTGAGCTTCCGCAAGAACCAGTGAGGTTCATTGTTGTGTTACGTAGCACGTTTGAGCTTCCGCAAGAACCAATGAGGTTCATTCTTGTGTTACGCAGCACGTTTGAGCTTCAGCAAGAACCAATGAGGTTCATTCTTGTGTTACGCAGCACGTTTGAGCTTCCACAAGAACCAATGAGGTTCATTCTTGTGTTACGCAGCACGTTTGAGCTTCAGCAAGAACCAATGAGGTTCATTCTTGTGTTACGCAGCACGTTTGAGCTTCCGCAAGAACCAGTGAGGTTCATTCTTGTGTTACGCAGCACGTTTGAGCTTCAGCAAGAACCAATGAGGTTCATTCTTGTGTTACGCAGCACGTTTGAGCTTCCGCAAGAACCAGTGAGGTTCATTCTTGTGTTACGCAGCACGTTTGAGCTTCAGCAAGAACCAATGAGGTTCATTCTTGTGTTACGCAGCACGTTTGAGCTTCAGCAAGAACCAATGAGGTTCATTCTTGTGTTACGTAGCACGTTTGAGCTTCCGCAAGAACCAGTGAGGTTCATTCTTGTGTTACGCAGCACGTTTGAGCTTCCGCAAGAACCAGTGAGGTTCATTCTTGTGTTACGCAGCACGTTTGAGCTTCAGCAAGAACCAATGAGGTTCATTCTTGTGTTACGCAGCACGTTTGAGCTTCCGCAAGAACCAGTGAGGTTCATTCTTGTGTTACGTAGCACGTTTGAGCTTCCGCAAGAACCAATGAGGTTCATTCTTGTGTTACGTAGCACGTTTGAGCTTCCGCAAGAACCAGTGAGGTTCATTCTTGTGTTACGCAGCACGTTTGAGCTTCCGCAAGAACCAATGAGGTTCATTCTTGTGTTACGCAGCACGTTTGAGCTTCCGCAAGAACCAATGAGGTTCATTCTTGTGTTACGCAGCACGTTTGAGCTTCCGCAAGAACCAATGAGGTTCATTCTTGTGTTACGTAGCACGTTTGAGCTTCCGCAAGAACCAGTGAGGTTCATTCTTGTGTTACGCAGCACGTTTGAGCTTCCGCAAGAACCAGTGAGGTTCATTCTTGTGTTACGTAGCACGTTTGAGCTTCCGCAAGAACCAGTGAGGTTCATTCTTGTGTTACGCAGCACGTTTGAGCTTCCGCAAGAACCAAGGACCAATGAGGTTTTGTTCTCGCGCGTCAAGCAGGTTCGGTTGAGCTTCTGTTTATGTTCACTGATCAATGTTTATTATGTGAATAAATCTAAATTGAATCTGTTCATCATATAAAGCGATCATGTCTCTTTAGAAAATTTGGACTAAACTGCTCAATTCATATGGATTGGTTTTATGATCTCTTTATAAACTTTTTGAAGCATCAAAGTGTCAGTTGCGTAGCTGTCAATGGAGGGACAGAAAGCTCAGATTTCATCAAAAAGATCTTCATTTGTGTTCTGAAGATAAATGAAAGTCTTAAGGGTTTGGAACAACATGAGGGTGAGTAATTAATAACATAATTAAAATTTTTAGGTCAACTAACCATTTAATGTTTCAAAACTTCACTAAGGCACTCATCACAAGACCATACGAACTATGTGACGTCATAAAATTAAAGTCGTTTCAGGGACAGAGCAAGTTTTTACATTTTGATAAAAGATTTAAAAAAAAAAAATGTTTGGAATAACATTCCAGAGTGTATGTATTAAAAAGTAAATATGGTCAGTTTTGATTTAATGGTGACTTTCAGAAGAGTAATTTACCTCCCGATGTTGTCACAGTGGTTGTGATGTTTTTCTTCGTTATAACAGAAGTAACTATTTTTCTTCCGGTAACTGTTTCTGGACGTGTGCTTGGATTTTCTGTACAAGAGCTGCCTGTAGATTTTACAGTGCTTGTATGTAATGTAGATGCATTGCCAACAGGTGGAGCAGAAGAGCTGCCTTTGAGAGGAGTGCTTTGGCTGGTGCGTCCGGGTTGTAGGTTTGTCGTGGTAGCATTTGGTTTTGATGTGCTGGTTAGGAAGTGAGCAGATTCTGTTGTTGTCTCAATAGCACCAGTGTTCCATGAGCTGATTCGCATGGAGGTAAAGGTCCTCAGATGTTTGGTGATTCTTACTGAGGAAGGTGTTGTCATTCCTTCAACAGCAATCATTATAGGGAAAATGAAACACATAACGAATGTATATTAGGAAATATTCGTCAACATTTGTTTGTACACAATTCTATAATATAATATAATATAATATAATATAATATAATATAATATAATATAATATAATATAATATAATATAATAAAACAATATCTGTGATGGACTGGCCATCCTTCCAGGGTGTTTCCCTGCCTAAGCCAACTTAGACGCTGAGATAGGCTCCAGCATTCCTGCCACCCTTCATAGGTTAAAGGTATAGTTCACCCAAAAATAAAAATTAGCCCATGATTTACTCACCCTGAAGCCATCCTAGGTGTATATGACATTCTACTTTCAGACGAATACAATTGGAGTTATATTAAAAAATGTCCTGGCTCTTCCAAGCTTTATAATGGGAGTGAATGGCCGTTTGACTTTGGAAGTCCATTAAAGTGCATCCATTCATGATTAAAGTGCTCCACACGGATTTGCGGGGGTTAATAAAGGTCTTCTGAAGTGAAACAATGCGTTCGTGTAAGAAAAATATCCATATTTAAAACTTTATCGACTAAAATAGCTTCCAGCAGACGGCCGTACGCATCGATTTACGCGAAAAGAGTAACACTTGAACTTGATGCACAACGTAATGACGGCAAATGCTGTTCAAACAAACAGGACTGGGCAACTGCGTTCGTCATTACGTTGTGCGTCAAGTATACACCTAGGATGGCTTCATGGTGAGTAAATCATGGGCTAATTTTTATTTTTGGGTGAACTGTGGGATAATTTTCTCTCTTTAAAGGGATAGTTCACTAAAAAATGAAAATTATCCCACAATTTACTCACCCTAAAGCCATCCTAGGTGTATATGACTTTTTTTCTTTAAGCCAAACACAATTGGAGTTATATTAAAAAAAATATCCGGGCTCTTCCAAGCTTTATAATGGGAGTGAATGGTACCGTGTTTTTTGAAGCCCAAAAAAGCACATCCATCCATCATAAAAGTAATACACACGGCTTTAGGGGGTTAATAAAGGCCTCCTGAAGCGAAGCGATGCATTTTGTAAGAAAATATCCATAATTATAGCTTTAAAAACTGTAATCTCGCGGATCAAACATAGGGCTGGGCAACAAACTCAAGCTCCTTAAAATTTCTCTTTAAAATTCTCATTTTAGACTTGTAATTCTTGACCCGCTGTTTTGCTCGATCCTCTGCACTTCCGCGTTCATCAATACGCCATGCATTGGGTTAGAGGTCACTGTAAGCCAGTCGTTATAGTTTATTAAGTTATAATTATGGATATTTTCTTACAAAAATGCATTGCTTCACTTCAGAAGGCCTTTATTAATCCCCTGGAGCCTTCTGGATTACTTTTATGATGGATGGATGGATGCTCTATTTTGGGCTTCAAAAGTACCATTCACTCCCATTAAAAGGTGGAAGAGCCAGGATTTTTTTTTTATATAACTCCGATTGTGTTTGGCTGAAAGAAAAAAAGTCATATACACATGGCTTGAGGGTGAATAAATTATGGGATAATTTTCATTTTGGATGAACAACCCTTTAAGTGGTTTTGAAAATGAATTATATTATAATATATTATATTATAAAATTTGTTTGCTCAATGATTTTACTCACTGTCCCAATTAGTCTGACATGGAAGAGGAAGTACTTGAAGTAATGATTATTTAGTTCATGTTTTTCTTATGGTGACCATCAGCTGGTTAAAATGTAGATGATGTCAGGTTTTAATATCCTTGTGGAGACATTTCATTCCACAATGTAGGCAAAACCTGACCTACACACACACACACACACACACACACACACACACAGAAACACCCCAACAGCCTTTCCTAAAACAACTCCTGGAGAGTTTCGACAGAGGGAAATTGATCCATTTACCTCAAATTTATAATTAATTCATGGGCTTCAGTGGTGGTGTTAAGTTTTTCCATTGTTTGCACTCTTGTGTGCATCTGCCATGGGCAAACTGGGGCTTTATCATTTCATATTCACAGCTAAAAATGGAAGTGCCATATGATTGCAATTACAAAAAAAAAGGGGAAAATAAAGCTTTTTCTTACCTTCGATTTGCTTTGAGAAAACATGGATAGACAACTCTATGTCTGTCTGGAGCTGATTGTCCTGAAAGACAGCTGTCAGTTTGTATGTTCCTGACTGGTTAGATGTCACGGAAGTCAGAGACAAAGTGTCTGAGAGAGACAGTGTTGTGTCATCCTAAAAATCATCACATGAATTTGTCATTTTAAGCAAGCTGAGTTAATACACTACAAAAGATTGATTTAAAACAATACTGCTTACATATTTAATTTCAATCTCTTAATATTTCACAGTCTTACCCTCATCCACTTATATTGTAAGTACTGAGATGCTTTTGCAATACAAGAAATCGTCACATCCTCACCAAAACTGACATTAAAAGGGCTGCTTGTGTTACACTCAATGTCATCAAGAACTGTTTGGAAGAATAGGATATATTTGAAATGGATTTTGTTTACTTGTATAAGCTTTAATTTAACAGAGAATGATAAAGATTAATGCAAAAAAAGTTTTTTTTGCATTCTCAACACTCACAATTGACAGTCAGTTCCATAGTGGTATTGAGACCTTGCTGATTGTGGACAGATGACCATTCAGGTGAACAGATGTAAAGATCGCTGTTGTTTCTGTTGACGTTTGGTAAAATGAACTCTCCATTCAAGCTTTCCATCCAAAATAGCTTGTCCTGATGAGGAGAATGAGATCAACACAACAGCTGTATAGACCGTGGCATTTAGAAATGTCGATTTTTCAATCTGACTCACCTTTGACCGTCTTAGTCCATAACCCTGTGGTGGAGGGCTTGCTGAACAAGTTATTTTCACTTCATCTCCCTCTTTTATGAATCCGTATGTATATGACATCTTCGCTGATGCTGGAGGCTCTGAAATTAGCAGACAGCAGCTGCTTGTTCACTTTTACATTTCTGAGTGAATGAGAATGTAGGTTACCGTGAGCAGTTTTACCTGTGACCTGCAGCGTTGTAGTTCTTTTAATCGAGCCATTAGGATAAGAAGTAATTTCGCAAGTATAGTTCCCACTGTCTTTCATGGTAACTTCATACAGGGTCAGGACAGAGCCTTGTAGCTGTCCAGTTTTTGAACTGGTCATCGTCGTCAGACGAGGACCGATTTGAAAGTAATGTTCTGGCATTGTCGGATGGAACACCACGATCTTCTTATCATTCTTCTCATTCTTCTCATCTCCTTTTTGCTGTTTTAGCCATTCCAGCTGGATAACTTTGATTTCATGTCCCTCTCCCACAAAGCATGACAGACTGACGTTCTGTCCCTCCACAGCAGTTATGGACACGTTATGATGTATAAGCATTCCGTACGTTCCTGATAAACCATTTTCATGAGTGATAATCAGTTTCTTTCATGAAACCACAGATTGCATCATTGGTCAATGTTCATTTATTCATATAAGAGATGTGTTATTGACAAGTTTTCACCTTTAAGGCATTATAAAAAGTTCAGTGTCATCTGTAGTATAATTTTATTACATTTAATTTTATTTTTAGATATATTTCTTACGTTTTTTGTACATTTTTAATCATGATTTAAAAATATATTTCAAGATAAAAGTTGATTTATTTATTGTTTTTAAGCATTAATGAAGACTTTTATGTATTTCCCGTAAATCTTGTATGCATGTGAGTGTGTCACTATTATGTTCAGTTTGTCTAGTTATCATGGACTTTCTGTTTGTTTTCATTAGTCACATGTGTTCCATGTAGTTCCATGGACACTAACACTAATCCTCACAGCTGTTTGTTATTTTGTCTTTACCACCATGTATTGAAGTTCCTCCTTGTGCACTCTTCAGTTGTCTGGTATTGTTCGTGGTTATGTTTACACGCTGTCTTGCATGTTGGTTGTCTATTTGGATCTATTTAAATGAACCCTGTGTTATATCTTCATCTTCCTTGGATTAGAGTGTTTGAGTGAGCTTATTTTAATCATCATTTAAAAAATAGTTATATATTCTAAGACATAATGTATTTTATTTATTTATACATACATACATACATACATACATTTTTTTCATCTTTACATTTTTTTGTTGCACCACATGGCATCTTACAACCTGAACTAAACTTGCTTTGTGATAAATCACATTTTCTGATATGTTTTAAGGGTTTATGTGGTCTTCTATGTGATATCATTTCCTATCATTTTTGTTGTTGTTTTTTCAGGATGTTTGTGCTTGTTGGTTGGATCAACAAGACTTTTATTTTGCAGACTAAAGGTTTTGAAATATTAATAAGCAGTGAAGCAGTTTTGTTTCAAGCAGTTTTTTTTGTTTTGTTAATTTTTTTCCTAAAAAAAATAATAATAATAGGAGATGCTTGATAAATACTTAAAGATTTTTTTTTTTTTGCTGTCACCAATTTATTATTTTAATTATGTTTTTATTATGAAATCAGGACAGTTGTATCATTCTGTAATTTTTGACATAATTCATTTTAACACAGAAATGAAAATCAGGCTTATCATAGGAGACCTGCATTTAAGTCAAATTGCAATTTGAATGCATTTTTGACTAAATTAAATAAATAGGACAAAACAATCAGTTTCACGTCATTAAACAACTAACCACATGGCCAGATCAGTTCAAAAGCTATTAAACGTCTTTGTAGGTAGAAATACAAGCCCCTCTTACCTTGTATCATGCATAAAATGATAAGAAGTTTGTAAGTTGCCTCTGTCATCAGAAACTCCATATCTGTGAGACCAACAGTCTTAACAGAAAGAGTCAAACAGCAGCAGCAGCAGCAGAGATACAGGAAATGAGTTACACCACCAGAGAGACAGGAACTGGTTTATTTTCATAGTCTAGCAAGATTTACTTCTGTGATCTAGTCGCTTGGCTTGGCTTAAGCTGTGCAGTATAGTTTTCTTTTCATTCAAACAGCTTGCTTAATGGAGAGATGCTCTTATGTCTATAGTAGATTGGATGGAGTGATGGAGTTTATAGTCCTGATAAGCACAATGCACTGCTTCAACAGATAATGATGACCTTATTCCCATTATGCGGCGACAGTCAGCATGTCTTCCTCGATTTCCTGTCAGAATGCAATGTGACAAGCTGCGGCCACATTTTCGCACATACAGCAGACACACAGTAAAGATCACATCAAATTTGAAAGCCCCTGCTGACATTAGATGTTATTGTTTGTGGATATTATATCAAACAATCAGGCTGGATGGCAAATGTCCCACTGGCCCCCATGAACGTTTAACTTCTTTCTTTGTTATTATTAGAATTTACTGTTAGTTCACATCTTTAAATGAGACGTGATCTACAGTGGAGAGAGTATGAATGCTCAGTTTAACAAACGCAAGATATTTCAGCCTAAAGGTGTTACATAATCAGGATACATTAGTAGGGACACGCCGACATTATAATTCTGGCCAATATTAAAATTCTATATTTTGTCTAAAATAAATGAATGAAAAATAAAACTTTAAAACCTAAAATTGAGTGTATAATAAATACTAGTAATGAATGATGTTATGTATAGGATACAAAAAAGTATGCACTGATATTAAAGTTCTGGCACAAAAGCCGAAAATTACTTTCATGTTATTAATTAAAATGATACTAGTTGCCTAAATCAATGAAAAAATAAAATGCTTTAAATACGAAATCCTACAAGTTTTAAATACTACAAGTGATTTTATTATAGTATGTAAAATAGATATTAATTTTGAGATTTGCTAAAGATTACATTTAACAATGTTTCTAAATAATAAGTGAGTGTTAAGTGTCAGGAATATGTTTAGTTTAGTTTGTCACTAGTTTTCATTTCGTTAATGTGTTTCTTTTTAGGGTATGTTTACACGACAATGATGTACTAAAAACTGAAATGTTTTTCTTTTGCGTTTTTCATGTAGGCCTACAGACAACAATATTGTCAAAGCGATCCCGTTCACACTGTATTAATGCTGTATTATGTATGTTAGGTCAGTAGATGGCGATGTCAACCTAACTTGTCAAGAAACACTGTGCCTAACACATATGTATGAGTATGATGACATCACCATTTTTGCAAATTCATGTTTTTGTATTTTACACAGAGATGATAATAGTATTGTTTTTCAAAACTTTGAAACCCGTTTTCAAAAGGTTGCATGTTCAGGCCCCCAAAATGCCATTGCCATGTAAATGAAAGGCCAAAAGGCATACAAATAAAACTGTTACATGTAAAGGGACCCATAGTTTAGTCCCTGATTTTATTTTCCATATAGTCACTGATTAGATTCAACTGTGTCTATTTTAGTTCCCTTGTTTGCCTGAGTTTTCAGTTGTGTTTGTTAGTTCGGTAACGCTTTAGATTACAGCCCGGAAAGTACAGCGTAATTAAAGCAATTTTACAGCGTAACCTTCGGTAATTATAGTGTACCTATAATGTACTTACAATATAATGATAAGGGAACAATATTTTACGTTTGGGGAATAAAGGGGTAACAACCAGGAGAATTAAAAAATGATTTATACTGTAAGTATTATAGAACTAAGGGTTACTTATTCTACTATTATGATATAACAATCTTACATTTGGGATCAATTTAGCAAGAACATATACTGCGTACCTTTTTGAAATAATGGTGAACCAGTACATACTGTATAGGCTTTATAAATCCATAGATATTTACCCTGTAATTTTTAAAATGTAATCTTTTTAACATAAGTTCCCTGAAAACGAAAACTATTGCAACTTTTGCTTAAATATTGTGGAAAGATACTCTTGTTTCATGTAGCTTGTTACCCCCTTGTTCGATGTAGTTACAGGGTAAGTGTGACATTGTGGGCTGTAAATTAAAGTGGTGCTTGTTACCCTCTTGTTCCATGTAGTTACAGGCCAGGGTAAGTGTGACATTGCGGGCTGTAAATTAAAGTGGTGCTTGTTACCCTCTTGTTCCATGTAGTTACAGGGTAAGCGTGACATTGCGGGCCGTAAATTAAATTGGTGCTTGTTTATTTTTAAATTGAATTGGAACCAGCTTCCGTTGGTTCTCTTGTTCCATGTAGTTACAGGGTAACAATAAAAATGCATACACACAATCTTATATCACTGACTCGGAAACCTTTATTTATTATACAATTACCACTTACCTTTTTCCACATGAAACAAGATATATTTCCCAGTATTTAAAAAAATTGCAATAGTCTTAGCTTTTCTTGCCTTGAAACATGTTAGCCCAACTTAAACATCTGCACTTTTGCTATCAAAAAATAAATAAATAAAATAATAAATGCATAGATATGTACCCTGTAATTAAAAAAAAGTCTATACAGTATGTATTGGTACACAATTATTACAAAAAGGTACGCAGTGTTCTCGCTAAATTGCTCCCAAATGTAAGATTGTTGTATAGTAGAATAAGTTCCCCTTAGTTCTATACTTACAGTATAAATATTTTTTTAATTCTCCTGGTTGTCAGCCCTTTATTCCCCAAACTTTACATATTGTTCCCTTATACTTACATGCAAGTACTTTATAGGTACACTATAATTACTGAAAGTTACTCTTTAAATTCCTCTTAATTACACAGTACTTTCCGGGCTGTAATCTAAAGCGTTTCCGTTGGTTCTCATCAGCTTTATATGGTTTGAGTTTCTTTCGTACATCTTCAGTGATCTACATTTGTGGTTTGTTAACAAAGACTGTGTATTGTTTGGATTACCTCTTTTTCTCCTCCGTGCGTGTTGGCACACACCCCTGACAGTTAGATAGCAGAAGTGATCTAAATGTAAAAAGGAGAGAAAAGAACATGCACAAAAATAACCTCAAAAATGATTGGCAGATAACTGGTATGGTACGATTTAGTATATCATGCATCCCTATTTTTAGAATATTGTAAAATTATAATTTATGTTTATAATATATTTATAAAAACATTTTACAAGCAACTGCATTACTGTATGTCAGAAGAGCAGTAACTACCTTTTACTGTAACTACCTTTTACTCAGAGAACATTCACATGTGCCTTTTCCATTCCTCACGGCTTTTGAAGCTCATTATCATTGTCTTGTAGAATAAGATCAAACTCACATACTATGAAATAATAATGAAGCAATGAGTGCTGTAAATGGGAAGAAGGGAATTGATGGCTCGGTAACTGTTCTGTCATTAATGAATCGCTACACAGGTACAAATGAGTAACACACTACATTCTAGTAACTACTATTTACTTACAAGAAACCATAAATAACTAATTAGTAAGTTATAGTGATCAGTTGAATGCAGTAGTTCACTATTAGCTAATCAATAACTAACTTTTTTCACACCTCCCAGGACTACTGTAAGAACTACGACAGTATTATTCATAATTAATGTGAATAATGCATTATGTGTAATTAATTCTAAAGTGAAGATCATGGGAACCCACTAGTAACGACTGAAGAACTATCAAATCCTTCAGAAGGAATTAATATCCCAAACCTTAAATGCTTGCAGTGACTAAAGTCATTACTGGAACTTATGCTACTACATAATGCATTATTCACATTAATTATGAACCTGTATATGGTAGTTATCATAGTCCTCTGGGAGGTATAAAAAAAAGAGTAGTTTCTGATTAGCTAATAGGGGTGAATTCAGGGTGATTTTGACACTTTTTGCCATTGAGATGACTTGGAAAAAGTGTCCCAATCAACCTGAGTTCACTCCAGTGAACTACTACCACATTCAACTGAGCGCTAATCCATTAATCAGAGTTTTGTGTTAGTTACTGTAATAGTAGTTGAATGTTAATATTGCGTTACTCATTTGTTCCTGTAGTAATTCATTTATGATGAACAAGATTCTAAAGTGTTACTGATGGCTCTATTAAATTCTTTGTGTGTGTGTGTGTGTTTGTGTGTGTATGTGTGTGTAACGCTAAATCCAAGGAAGATGAAGCGAATATAACACAAGGTGTATTTAATCAACTCAAAACTAGACAGCCAACATGTGAGAAAGTGTGTGAAACACAAACAATACCGGACAACTGAAGAGTGCTCAAGGAGGAATTTAAATACATGGTGATGATGACAAAATAAAGAACAGCTGTGATGATAATCAGTGACCATAGAAACTGAGTGGCAGGAAACAAGAACAAAGAAACACAAGTGACTAATGAAAACAAACTAAAAGTCCATGAACTGAATTAAGTTGAACATTAACAGCAGCCATATCACCCAGTAGCCTAAGACTGGTTGCCCACTAAAGCTAAGCAGGGTTGAGCCTGGTTAGTACTTGGATGGGAGACCTTCTGAGAAAACCAGGTTGCTGCTGGAAGAGGTGTTAGTGAGGCCAGCAGGGGGTGCTCACCCTGTGGTCTGTGTGGGTCCTAACACCCCAGTAAAGTAATGGGGACACTATACTGTCAAAGAGCACCGTCCTTCGGATGAGATGTTGTACCGAGGTCCTGACTCTCTGTGGTCATTAAAAATCCCAGAATGTCCTTCGAAAGAGCATCCTGGCCAAATTTGCCCATTGGCCTCTGTCCATCATGGCCTCATAATCATCCCCATACACTGATTGGCTTCATCACTGTCTCCTCTCCACCAGTAAGCCGGTGTGTGGTGGGCGTTCTGGCACACTATGGCTGCCGTCGCATCATCCAGGTGGATGCTGCACATTGGTGGTGGTTGAGGAGATTTCCCCGTTCTATGTAAAGCGCCTTGAGTACCCCGAAAAGCGCTATATAAATGTAACAAATTATATTATCATTATTATTATAACGGTGACAGTGTGAGTCTAGGGATGGGATATAAGGGACGTTAGATCTGTGAATGTGGCAGCTGATAGCAGCGTGGGGAAATATAAGCTGTAAAATATCAAACCAAAGCAGCATCATGGTGATGGAGGAAATGTGACACACGGTGTACTGAGGACACACATATTTAAATATAGAGATGTAGTATTTAGAGAGACAGATACAAATAGGGAATTATTTGATCTGTTTAAAGGGTCTGATGTCCTCAAGTTAAATTACTTCC